GAAATGCTTAATTAATTACTGAAATAACTGTCAACTAATTTACTAATCGATTAATAAACTAGACTATGCAGACTCAAAAAGAGGCAATTTGCTGAAAGAACACAGAGTTATAATAATCAAAACTGTACAAAATGTTTTCTTCCACCAAATTTGAATTTTCTGTGTATTTCTAATATTGTAAAAAAGAAGCTTAAAAAGAAAAATCAGTAGAATGTGCCATGACTCGAATAATCGATAAACAATCAAAATAGGTGGCGTTGTCAATGATTATTGAGTTTCAGCTCTACTTTAAAGTTCTTTTGGATCAATTTAAAAAAAACAAATCGGCCTCTTTTGTGTGATCTTTGATGTCCAGGTGGGGACCCGGCGGTACATGGCTCCTGAGGTCCTGGAAGGGGCCATTAACTTCCAGAGGGACGTCTTTCTGAGGATAGACATGTACGCTGTGGGCCTGGTGCTATGGGAGCTCGCCTCACGCTGCAAAGCTGCTGACGGTAATAAACACGACCCGACTTGTTGGGCTGGAACATTAAAATACTGGAGGAGTTTAACAACTGTGTGATAAACTGTGTGGTTCACACGTTTATCAAAGTCAAACAGATTTGGAGCTGAGCTCTCTCCAAAACACACCAAGTCTAGATTCAATCTGGACAAGTTCAGCCCGTTAAGAAGGCAGAGTGGCTGAGTAGCCTTAAGAAGTCGTAAATTCATATAAGTAAAATTAAGGCCTTAAAATGTCTTGAATTTATTTTAAAAAGTTCGCCTGCAATAAGTTAATCCTGACAGGATTATTGAATCTTGTTGATGCTGAGGGTTTTTTTTCTCTGCAAACTTTTCTATCATGCAGATGTTTGAGTCTCACTCAAACATCTTCGTAGCGTTCTGTGACTTGAGGCTACCGCTAACATCCTGCGCATATCCGGTTCTGCTCATTGTCCAGGTCCGGTGGACGAGTACATGCTGCCGTTTGAGGAGGAGGTGGGCCAGCACCCGTCTTTGGAGGACATGCAGGAGGTGGTGGTCTTCAAGAAGTTGAGGCCGACCTTGAGGGAGTGTTGGCAGAAACATGCAGTGAGTCATACTCTGACCGGTGTTGTGGACGTGTTTGTTTCTGAGTGGTCTCTGACTGGTGTTGTGGACGTGTTTGTTTCTGAATGGTCTCTGACCGGTGTTGTGGACGTGTTTGTTTCTGAGTGGTCTCTGACTGGTGGTGTGGACGTGTTTGTTTCTGAGTGGTCTCTGACTGGTGTTGGGGACGTGTTTGTTTCTGAGTGGTCTCTGACTGGTGTTGTGGATGTGTTTGTTTCTGAGTGGTCTCTGACTGGTGTTGTGGACGTGTTTGTTTCTGAGTGGTCTCTGACTGGTGTTGTGGACGTGTTTGTTTCTGAGTGGTCTCTGACTGGTGTTGTGGACGTGTTTGTTTCTGAGTGGTCTCTGACTGGTGTTGTGGACGTGTTTTCTGAGTGGTCTCTGACTGGTGTTGTGGACGTGTTTGTTTCTGAGTGGTCTCTGACTGGTGTTGTGGACGTGTTTGTTTCTGAGTGGTCTCTGACCGGTGTTGTGGATGTGTGTTTCTGAGTGGTCTCTGACTGGTGTTGTGGACGTGTTTGTTTCTGAGTGGTCTCTGACTGGTGTTGTGGACGTGTTTGTTTCTGAGTGGTCTCTGACTGGTGTTGTGGACGTGTTTGTTTCTGAGTGGTCTCTGACTGGGTTGTGGACGTGTTTGTTTCTGAGTGGTCTCTGACTGGTGTTGTGGATGTGTTTGTTTCTGAGTGGTCTCTGACTGGTGTTGTGGACGTGTTTGTTTCTGAGTGGTCTCTGACTGGTGTTGTGGATGTGTTTGTTTCTGAGTGGTCTCTGACTGGTGCTGTGGACGTGTTTGTTTCTGAGTGGTCTCTGACTGGTGTTGTGGACGTGTTTGTTTCTGAGTGGTCTCTGACCGGTGTTGTGGACGTGTTTGTTTCTGAGTGGTCTCTGACTGGTGTTGTGGACGTGTTTGTTTCTGAGTGGTCTCTGACTGGTGTTGTGGATGTGTTTGTTTCTGAGTGGTCTCTGACTGGTGCTGTGGACGTGTTTGTTTCTGAGTGGTCTCTGACTGGTGCTGTGGACGTGTTTGTTTCTGAGTGGTCTCTGACTGGTGCTGTGGACGTGTTTGTTTCTGAGTGGTCTCTGACTGGTGTTGTGGATGTGTTTGTTTCTGAGTGGTCTCTGACCGGTGTTGTGGACGTGTTTGTTTCTGAGTGGTCTCTGACTGGTGCTGTGGACGTGTTTGTTTCTGAGTGGTCTCTGACTGGTGTTGTGGATGTGTTTGTTTCTGAGTGGTCTCTGACCGGTGTTGTGGACGTGTTTTGTTTCTGAGTGGTCTCTGACTGGTGCTGTGGACGTGTTTGTTTCTGAGTGGTCTCTGACTGGTGTTGTGGATGTGTTTGTTTCTGAGTGGTCTCTGACCGGTGTTGTGGACGTGTTTGTTTCTGAGTGGTCTCTGACCGGTGCTGTGGACGTGTTTGTTTCTGAGTGGTCTCTGACCGGTGTTGTGGACGTGTTTGTTTCTGAGTGGTCTCTGACTGGTGCTGTGGACGTGTTTGTTTCTGAGTGGTCTCTGACTGGTGTTGTGGATGTGTTTGTTTCTGAGTGGTCTCTGACCGGTGTTGTGGACGTGTTTGTTTCTGAGTGGTCTCTGACCGGTGCTGTGGACGTGTTGTTTCTGAGTGGTCTCTGACCGGTGTTGTGGACGTGTTCGTTTCTGAGTGGTCTCTGACCGGTGTTGTGGACGTGTTTGTTTCTGAGTGGTCTCTGACTGGTGTTGTGGACGTGTTTGTTTCTGAGTGGTCTCTGACCGGTGCTGTGGACGTGTTTGTTTCTGAGTGGTCTCTGACTGGTGCTGTGGACGTGTTTGTTTCTGAATGGTCTCTGACCGGTGTTGTGGACGTGTTCGTCTCCCCTGCAGGGTCTGGCTCTGCTCTGCGAGACCATCGAGGAGCTCTGGGACCACGAGGCCGAGGCTCGGCTGTCGGCCGGCTGTGTGGAGGAACGCGTGGCGCAGATGCAGCGACAGACCAACGCCACCGCTCCCGAGGATCTCGTCACGGTGGTTACCATGGTAACCAACATGGACTACCCTCCAAAAGAATCCGGGCTTTGATGGGGAACATTGAATTCTACCTTCAAGTGGAAGATGGTCTGAAACCCGTGACGTAACTTTGGTACTGCAAAATAAGACTTGAGGATCATGACGATGATGATGATGATGAACAGTGACGGATTTCAGGGTGAAACTAAGAGCTGGTTCTGCTCATTATGGACAGTCGGACTTGAGGGTTTTTGTCAACACTAACTTGCGGTGGAATCGGAGGACAATGGTTCAGTTTCCAGGTGAATTGTTGACCTCGTTTTTAATCTTCTGGAAAGCAGAGAATCACTGCTGAAGACTTTCTGTGAACACTTTCTTCCCACAGACGAGTTGTCTAATCTACAGGAACCTGAGGAACCTTTTATGTTCCTGTTGAACATCAGCTGCTCAACTGAAGAACTGATCTGTTTAGTGTTTTATGACCAGCATCTCAGGACAACTTCAGATGTTTTAGGAACTAAATTATTTATTGATGATCTGAAAAAGTAATCGGTGTCTGCTCCGCAGCACGCAGCTGACCTTATTTTATAGTTTTAATACAATCCACAATGTCTGTGACAAAGCAATCCAGATGTTTCCAGTGTTTGTAAAATAAATAACACGGTTTTCAAGATTTGAGCCTTCTCATTTTTCTCTGCTGTCGGAACATCTGCTAGCGTCCCGATGCTGTTTTTCCAGAACGGAGAACTAATACTTCAGCTTAGATACTTGTTGATTTAGAGTAGTTAATAAGTTGGTACTTTATATCACAGAACTGTTGAAAACGTGAGCAAAGTGGCTTCATTCCCTACAGTTCTGTCTGCATTAACAAATCAAAATGATAGAATGACATACACCATGTCATAAAATGTGCAAAAGGCAATTTTTTCTGAGGATGCTGTTAACAAATTCAAATTAAGACATACAATAACACATACAATAGTAAAACATTTGTATGATAGCTGTTGTGTTTTTCACTGGGACCGGGTCTTTAACGCATTAACTTTGGTTACTTGATTACATAGATTTTAATATGTTAAAAATGTCAGTGCAATTTATCAAGTTTTGTTGTTTTTAATGATTTCAGCTTAAATTAGACAGAGCAGCTTGTGTGTCTGTTTCCAACATGCAAAAACTGCAAAGAGCTTTATTACTTTATCCTGACTTTTTAACGGTAGCTGCTCATTTTGTAAGTTCAGCTGGTTTCTCATAACTTGAAGAAGTTTCACTTTTCATCCAAAAGATTTCTTCTGTCTTGTTTATGGGTTGGAAAAAAGCAAGACAGAAGAAGATTGTGTGAAGCTTTAGAACAATTGCGGGTGCTGAGGTTCTTTGAGTCCGTCTCACAGCTCTAGCCTTCCTGTAAGGCAACATGACTAACTTCCTGTTTATCTGAAATGTTCATCTCTGATGTTCTTAAACTGACAACAAAACTGAGATCCTCCTTCTAGGAACCAAAGCTGTATCGTCCAAAGCTGACAGTTTCTAAACCTTTTCATTAGATGGTTCTACTCTCAGGTTAAAGAGTCCAGGTCATCCTCGACAGAACTTCACCTTTCACCTCTCCTTTCACTCTGACAATATGACTCATTGTGTTTATTCCACCTACGCCATATTAATCATCTTTGTCCCTCCCATTCCTCACACTTCATATGTCCTCTTGTCCATGGCCTTGTCACCTCCTGCATCAACTGCTGCAACTGTCTTCTCTTTGGTCAACCTCAAAGATCCCTCCCTAAGCTTCAAGTTGTACAAAATTCATGATATCACATTAAAGAGTGATGTGAAGTTGCTGCTAGTGAATCACTTGTTTTCGTCAAAGTTGCATCCAACTCGACAAATAGACCAATATCATTAGACTGACAAGACAAATAAGATTTGTGGAATTTATTCAAACTTCTGATCGTTCATTGCATTTTAAATCAAAATCAAAATCACACCATCTCTAATCAAGCCCATAGTTTAAACAAACTTAAAACTAATCATTGCATGGCAACTACTATTGTAGTGTAATGTTGCTAAGAAAAGGAAAAGCAGGTTTATTTGTACAGCCCATTTGCACATTTTTGTGATTTAAAGTGCTTTACATCAAAAAAAAAGGATGAAGAATATCAGGTGAAAATTACAATATGAAATATAGCTATATAGCACAATGTTTTACATAAAAAACCCCAAGCACCCAAAACATATAATTGATCAAATTGATCCTACATTGTGTTTTAATGACTTAAAATTACATTATTCCAACACCGTCAACATTCTCTCTCCTAAACCTCTACATCTCAGTTTAAATCTTCTCAATGAAGTCGTCTCCAAAGTCGATCATTTTCCTCAGAGTGCTGAGGATCAGAGTATCAACATCATTGTTCAAGTTGATTTCTTCACTGTAGTTCTTCACAGGGAAGATGCAGTTCACTGGGATTCCCACTGCTGAGCTGAAGTCTTTCATCTGAACAGTGAACATTTATCACAGTTATGTTTTTGTTATTTCTGCACAAAAGGAGTGAAACTCACCTTTTTTCTCAGGTACTTGCTCTTGTAGACATTCCTCAAGTTCTTCTCAGTTTCACTGCAGGCTTCATCGATGTGGGTCATCATGGTCATCTGAGGAATTCCTGCAGGAAGAGAGACTCACTGAAGAAAGTATTCATGATTTAGTTCCCTTCAGGTCGGAACCAGAGACGCTGATGATGGACCTTGATACGGATCTGTTCTGTTTCCATGTAAACTCACCCAGCTCACTGGCTGTTTCTCTGATGCTCTTCATCTTCTCCAGAATCGATGAATTCATCTGAGGAGCGTTAGCAGACATCACACAGACCAGGACATGAACTTTGTCATCAGCAGAGGGGGTCGGGTTGTAGCCTGGGTCATCCTGAGATATTGGAGCAACTGGGTTGAACTGGAAGAGAGTAAAAGATGCAGCATGAAAAATATTTAAAAGACACAACTCTGGTATGTTAATTAGGGGCTAAAGCCAGTCATTCATGTAGATATTTCACAACTTGTTTATGCAGTTGCTGCACCTTGTGGCCTTCCTTCACATGACCCTCCAAAGCCAGTTTGATGTCGTCACCATGAACTCCCCTGTCGGTTCCATCTTCCAGACCCATGATGTCGTTGAAGACCAGAGGATAAAATGTCTTTGAGCTTCCTCGTCCTTTAATGAACTTATGAGTCTCGTACTGAAGCACAGCAAGAAAAACCGAACATATTCATCAAGGGAAACCTCGTGTTGCTGATGCAGTCATTTTTTGATTTGCGCATTAAAGTCAGTTCTGGAAGGTGAACCTTTTTGGTGAAGCTTTTATCAGACGTGGTCGCGCTGGCCAAAGCAGGAATCGTAATCCGGCCTCTGAGGACGTTACTGACAGAGTTGATGAAACTGGACTTCCCAGATCCAACGGGTCCATAAAGGAGGACTCGGAGGTACTTGATGTCATCTTGTTCTGGTTTGTATTCCTGCACATATTGAAGATTCTTCTGTTTTTCTCTGAGAACATAAATCAGTTAGTTTGATCAAACTGAACAAGACATAACAATAAATATTCAATCCAAAGCTCAGAAACCAAGATCTGAAAACCTAAAACATCAATAAAAAAAAAACACTTCAGGTCATTTTTATTTCAGTGTCTTATCCAGCAGTGTGGGACAAGATAAGGTGAGGCCTAACAAACTTTCATTAGTGGACCATTATGACTTTAACGATGATACTTTACTTGACATATAGATAAATGTATTAGAAATTGATGTGAGTTTATTACAAATGTGAAAAACACCGAGATGGAAAAGCAAGTGAGAACAATGGGGGATAAAATGCAACTTAAGACTATAAGGAATTGTCTTAAGGGTTACATCTAAAAGATGTAACCCTTGTCCGAAGCACAGCAAGAAAAACCAAACATATTCATCAAGGGAAACCTCGTGTTGCTGATGCAGTCATTTTTTGATTTGCGCATTAAAGTCAGTTCTGGAAGGTGAACCTTTTTGGTGAAGCTTTTATCGGACAAGGGATTAGATGTATCCCTTGTCCGCTTGAATTAAATGGTGAAACTGCCGCACTAGCATGCAATCAAGCTCTGCAGATCTTTTTTAATGAACTCATACTGGAGTCAAATGTGCTGAAGCAGAGAAACATCTAAGCAGGTGTGAGCTGTGACTGTGACTGCAGGCCAAGCATGCTGCCCAAACGAAGCAACACCTGTTTACCAACGCACACCCAGCCAGCCACCTGCCAAAACTACAAACAATGTAACCATGGATATCTCTCATAACTCTTTTGTTCTTCTGCTTTTCAGAATGATGGTGATGAGCTTTGACCTCACTGCATTTCTTTGCTCTGTTATCAGTGTCCAACCCATCTGTTTTATATCCTTACATCATACCTACAACAACTTCTCATGACATTTGTTCATCAAATTACTTGAACTGTTCCCTCTGTGATGATGGTTCATGTATGATGATCTTTTTGGTTCAGACTCGTCTTCAATCCTCACTAAAGTTTAGTTCCTACCACCTCCTTCCTGATGCACTTTGCTCATTCAATTACTGTTAACTCACATCCCAAACTCTATTTCCAGGCTTTTTCCAGTGAGATCTGAAGCCCCAGTTTTACATTTCAGCTGAATGACTCGGTCCATCTACGATGAGTTTCTTTTGTGTCATAAAACAGAGCTCCAGTCTGTTTTATGGAGAAACTGGACTTTCCAGATCCAACTTCCTTCTTGATTTACTTCCGTCCTCCACTTCCTGTTAACTCAGAAACTCTGACTAGAACTCAGCTAAACCCAGCAAAACTTTCCACAAAAAAGCAAACTCAGAGATTTGTACTTCTTCTGTGATTTTATCAATCAGTTATAACAATATTGCTGTAAACTCACCCCCAGTGTAGTTCCCTCCATGGTTCATCCAGAACTGAACAGAAACATGAGTTATTATTCTGCAAAACTGACTATAGCATTTTTTAAATTTTATGTAATTACTCACTTGGAGGCTCTGCCTCTTCAGCTTCAGAAAGCAGGACAACAACACAAAAATATTAAACTGTTCCTGAAACTTTTTTCAAGACGTTTTTTATGTTATTCAAACTAAAGGCAGTGAATATGAAGCATTAGATAGCATTGGATTTGACACTTTAACTTACCAACATGTGTTGGGAACCCAAACATTTTCCCTTTTAAAAAAAGAGAAAAGAAAAGAAAGTAAAAACTTATGACTGTCACTGCAGAGTAAATGGGTGGTTCATAAGGAATCCTGCAGAATTTTAATCAAATTTGCTGAATCTGATTCAATTTATACAAATATCTTGAAAAGTCATCTGAAGTAAAATACACTTACATAGTCTTTGACTAAATGTATTCTCATTTTGTTGAGCCATTCTGCTGTTGTTGCTGCTCTGCTGCAACATGAACCAGCAGCAACTTTCTCCCCCTTTAAATTACATCTGCTGCTCTGATGAACCACATGACCTCTGATAAATCCTTTTACTTCCACTTTCTGCACATTGTATAACAATATCGCATTACCGCACAACAATATGCGATAATGGAGCCCTAAAGTTAGAAGACTGAATGTGGTTTCATTGATTACTGTTAAAGAAACATTTTTTAGTGAACTACTGAGCTTGTTCCAGCAGAATCTCTATTATGAAATAGTAGAAATGTTTGATGCCTTTGCTTGAAGAAGCAAATGCCTCAAAGCGGGGGAAGATAGTTTGTGGATTACTTATTCAAACTTATTATTGAAACTTTTTTGAGAAACATGTTTGATTTGTACTGAACAAGAAGAAGAGGAAAATAGCTTTTTTTTAAGGGATTCATATAGGACAGGGTTTTATAGGACTGAATTTATTTGAGTTGTTCTCCATTAAAATATGTTCAGACGATGGCTAAAGCATTTTCCAAAATGATATTTCCCAGAGATTGTGTATTTGAACAAATTTATAGTAATAATAAAACACATTCTGTTAACCAATTTGGGAAAAAAACTATTGGTATTATGATATTTGGTAAGCCATCTTCAGAGCGCAAATTTAATGGATTAAGAAAGGTTTTGAAGAAAGACGAGCTTTAGACAAAATATCTGGATATTTTGGTTCAGTTATACACTAAATAGAAGCACTCAGGTTTGAATCTTTTTGAAACTTTTTGTAGGGAATTATATACGTAGAATATTTTAGAAAAACAATCAGTAAACTAGTTTATTCTGTAAAGGTAATTTAGACTGGACTGTTAATGCACACTGATATTCATTGCAATATTCATTCATAGAAAGTGATTTATCTAACGACATTTGATCTTTTAACTTTTTATTATTGTTTTGGTTTTTATTACAAAATTTGTTCAAAATGAAGCTGAGATAAAAGGAGAAATAAGAACAAGCTAATGATTGAAGATCTGCATATACTTAACATTAAAAGGAAATATTAACTTTGAAACGTTTTAATAGTGATGAAAGAATCGTCCGCTTTCTGTTCTTATTAAATATTTTATCAAAGCTATTGTGAATCAATTTAGCAAAATATATAGAAAAGTTATGTAAAGAAAAATTCACTCATGCCAACGTTCCCTGAAACGAGAAAAAGGTTTAGCATGCTGTTGATCCATCCTGCTGTTGCTGCTCTGCTGCAAAGTGAATCAACAGCAACATTGTTCTCTCTTAAAAAAACACCTTTGCTCTGTTTACTTTCACTTTGTCAGAGGAAGCTAATATCCAGTCACATTTACGACAATACATTTATTAAGTAACATCTAGAAGTAGTTTCTCTGTGTCAGACTTTTTACTTAAATGGCATTATTATGAAGCTTTGCTATTCTTATTTAAAACTTCAGTCTACTGTCAGTAGAGTTACTGAGTGAAGAGCCACTAGAAAAGCAAAGAGAGAAGGGGAAGATATCAAACTGACTGTGGGGACAAAGACGCTGGGAACTGAAGCCTCCATCATCTACTCTGATGCACCTTATTTACATATGGATGCAAATAGATCCTAAGATTTTATTTTTACAGTAAAAATCTGTCACATTTCAGAGTGAGCCTCATGAGTATCAACTGTTCCCACCCATATGGTTTCCTTCTACCATATTTTGTTGCCCTCACACTTATACATTGTTCCCTCAACTCCACCCTCAAGCACTTTCTCCTACCTTAAACAGCCTCTGGTCTGATTATGGACATTAAGCCATGCAGCTATTGCTCTGGTGGACATCCCTGCAGCCAACACGCCAATTTTGTACAATAAAATGTCAGGAACTGCTGATTTACAGTTAACACCACATGGCAACAATATTTGACATGGAGAGTTTATATTTTGTTCAGTATATTTTTACTTTCCCATTGTGTCAAACAAGAAATAAGTATTTTCCTCGTGTGAAATTAAAATGCATCTACAGGTGTACAAATTATTAAATTGACAAGATTAATAAGTGAAGTTGACACTTTATTCAAACTTCTGGTATAAAATTTAATCATCTTATGTCAGAATTACATCAACTCCAATGAACCAAACTGCCCAGAGATGTTTAATATTGTATCACAATGAATAGCAATTTATGAAAAGTTTTAATGAGAAGAAAAGGTTTATGTGGGCACCACCATTGTACATGTAATGTATGTAACTATTTCAAATGACAATGTACTTCATAAGTACCTGAAAAAACAGAGCCGAAAAACCGATGAATCAAAAAGATAAAAGAAATGTCACATAAAATCACACAACCCAAATGCGTGACCCAAATGATCATTAAACTCTTTAGTTGTTTAAGAAAATAAAAACCTAGCCCAAATGCAGCAAACAATATATTTTTTTGAGTTCTGATTTAAAACAAATTCTACTAAATGTTTTCCTTTTACTACTTGAGTCCAAAACTGGATTCCACAATTTATATAATATAACTTTATGAAGCTGTAGCTGTATATATTTGGTATATTGGAGGTAACTGAACCAAATCCCCCTCATTATTATTTTTTTTAAATATCAGTTTAAATCTTCTCAATGAAGTCGTCTCCAAAGTTGATCATATTCTTCAGAGCGCTGAGGATCAGAGTATCAATATCAACGTTCAAGTCGATTTCTTCGCTGTAGTTCTTCACAGGGAAGATGCAGTTCACTGGGATTCCCACTGCTGAGCTGAAGTCTTTCATCTGAACAGTAAAAATCAGTCATAGTTACACTGAAATAATTTAGTGTCATCGCTCTGGACCAACTGACTGAAACTCACCTTTTTTCTCAGGTACTTGCTCTTGTAGACATTCCTCAAGTTCTTCTCAGTTTCACCACAGGCTTCATCAATGTGGGTCATCATGGCCATCTGAGGAATTCCTGCATTGAAGTAAATAAATATATACTGCCTTACTTTTATCCAAATGTCCATTGGACAAACATTGCGCTTGTTTTTAAATAATTTTTAGGGAATTTGCAAATTTTATTTGACAGCAATCTAAAGGGGCCATAGAACATGGAGGAAAGAAATGTAGCAATGGAACCGAGGATGGGAGTCAAATTCAGGATGGTCACATCGAGGTCTGCATCCTCTGTAATAAGTGTGTTATTACACAGCAGTCTTCTCTCCTCGCTCAGCTTTTCACTCTTTGGACTAAGTAAGCCTCTGTGGGCCGGGAGAGAGGCTTTTAGGTTAAAATAATTAATGCAATTAATATGCACTATGTATATAAACGTGTTAAACTTTTACGATTAATCACAAATGTTGGCAGCCTTAGTTTTTATCAGTTCAAAAGGTTTAAAGTAAATGACAAATCCTTCAGGTTGGAACTAGAGATAATAGACTTTATCATAGATCTATTGTTTACATGACGTCTGAATGAGATCATTCTCTGTAAACTCACCCAGCTCACTGGCTGTTTCTCTGATGCTCTTCATTTTCTCCAGAATGGATGAATTCATCTGTGGAGTGTTGGCAGACATCACACAGACCAGGACATGAACTTTGTCATCAGCAGAGGGGGTCGGGTTGTAACCTGGGTCATCCTGAGATATTGGAGCAACTGGGTTGAACTGGAAGAGAATAAAAGATGCAGCATGAAAAAACATTTCAAAGACACAACTCTGGTATGTTAATTAGGGGCTAAAGCCAGTCATTCATGTAGATATTTCACAACTTGTTCATGCAGTTGCTGCACCTTGTGGCCTTCCTTCACATGACCCTCCAAAGCCAGTTTGATGTCGTCAGCATGAACTCCCCTGTCGGTTCCATCTTCCAGACCCATGATGTCGTTGAAGACCAGAGGATAAAATGTCTTTGAGCTTCCTCGTCCTTTAATGAACTTATGAGTCTCGTACTAAAATGCAGACAAAAAATGTCCTGTTGGTTTCACAGATGTTTTCCGGACTGATTCATTAAACGTCTCACAGAACCAGAACCAACAAATAGAAGAGAAGAAGCTCAGAGCTAATCTCCGTCTCTGCACACAGACTTTATGAACACAGACTTTATGAACACAGACTTTATGAACACAGAAATCTTAACAGATTCAGTGTTCAAACTACAGTTTTGACAAGCCAGTGTGGTTCCTACAAACATTATTTAAATCTTTTCTAATAGTACTATAGCAGTATTAGTTTTAATCTGGAAGATAAACAGAAGCATCTTAGTTTTCAAACCTTTCTGGTGAAGCTTTGATAAGATGTTATCGCGCTGGCCAAAGCAGGAATCGACATCCGACCTCGAATGACGTTACTGACAGAGTTGATGAAACTGGACTTCCCAGATCCAACTGGTCCGTAAAGAAGGACTCGGAGGTACTTGATGTCATCTTTTTCTGGTTTGTATTCCTGCACATATTTAAGGTTCTTCTCTTTTTCTCTGAGAATGTAAAGTAAATCAGTTGGTTAGAGCTGTCCTAATAATGAATAAGGCAAGAGAAAATACTTCAGTTCAGTATTATCAAGTCAGTACAATAACCACCACAGCTATCCGTCAGTCTGTCTTCCATTCTTATCACTAATGTGGTAGCAAGGTGTGCTGGTGCTGATGTCCAGTGCTCAACAGGCGCGAGGCGGGGTCACCCTGGACAGGTCGCCAGTCCATTGCAGGGCAACACAGAGACAGACAGGACAAACACCCATGCACACAGACAGCTAAGGAGAATTTAGAGAAACCCATCGACCTGATAGTCATGTTTTTGGAAACCAGAGTACCCAGAGAGAACCCAGGCATGCAAAGGGAGAACATGCAAACCTCATGCAGAAAGACTCTAGGTCAGGAATCGAACCCAGGACCTTCATGCTGCAAGGCAAGTTAAGTGGCACAGTTGGCTGACAACTGTTTAACTGAACATACCAAAGAACAGCATTTATATGCTCTTCAAACATGTCTAATGTTTGCTGATGAGAAAAGGATAAACTAAAATAATTGTTCTTTCTTCAACCATATCATTTGACTTCAGTCCTGCTCAGGTTCATGTTGCTGTTCAATAATGTTTAATTTTCATTCTGTAGCGTTGTATATTTTAGGACGTTTCCAGACTCCGAGACCAGCGAGAAGTAGTTCAAATCACCTTTTTACCTTTAACTTGTGCAATTTACCTAAAAGCCAATGAACACATTTGCTGCAATAACCTGTTTTTAACTGGTTATCAATAAAGGCCTGAACGGTTTGGAAAGAATATAGTTAAGGCATTTCAGACTACGGCCATTTCAAGCCCTAAGAAGCAATAATAGTCTTAAAATCAATCCTGGAAGACTAAGAATCCAGGGGACATTAAGTTCCAGCATCTTATCAGGTTCTCATCCGGAAACATGAAGCTTTGTTCATAGCATGAAAGCTTTGTAATGAATAACTGTCATCTATTCATTACATAGATTCATTACAGGTCGCCAGTCCATTGCAGGGCAACACAGAGACAGACAGGACAAACACCCATGCACACAGACAGCTAAGGAGAATTTAGAGAAACCCATCGATAAAAGCTGATTTTTCTTTGTTATGCTCTTCAAAAAAAGAAAGTAAACAAGATCTTTGCATTGTTTTTGAGAGAGATGTGCCCTGTAAACCTGCTCTTAACTAAGAGCAAACATCAGCTTTGACCACATTCATCGTTACAACAATATTGCTGTAAACTCACTCCCAGTTTAGTTCCCTCCATGGTTCCTCCAGAACTGAACAGAAACATGAGTTATTATTCTGCAAAGATGACTGGAACCTTCTCAGAAACAAAATGCAAAAACTTACTTTCAGACTCAAGCTCCTCAACTTCAGCAGAGAAAAACAGAAAAAAATACATAAATAAATAACAGTTTCTGACAGATTTACTTCAGTTCAGTATTTTCAATTTCATCCAAACTGAAACAAACACCATTTAAAATTTTATTTTCAATTTAAATCAGTTTCAGGATCAGAAGCAGGAGATGGAGAACATAAAGCATTAGGCAGTGTTGGATTTGAAACGCCAACTTACCAGAATGTCGTTTTTTCCCTTTTATAAAAGAGAAAAGGAAAAAGATTATAAAATACTGAAAATGTTTTCTGTAGAATTTACTGATCAAATGAATCTGAATAAAGTTTTTATCAGAATCTACTAAAAAGAAGTCTGATATTTTCTTGTCATAAGTATTTTATGAAAGCTTTTTTGAATCACTTTTTTTTTTACAAATATCTAGAAAAGTAATCTAAAGTACAATGCACTCACACAAAAATCGATTCATCCTGTTGCTGCTGCTCCGCTGTAAAATGAATAAACATCCGTCTCCTCCCCTACATAAGAACTGCTGTTTTGCCAAAACAGGAAAGTCTTTTATTTTCACTTTCTCTTTTCTTTGTTCTGCAGTGACATTGTTGTACTTGCTGCAAACATTGTGAAGCATGGCAGGAAATTGAATTATACTCATATAGGCTTTCAACAACTGCTGGAGGAAGCACTGCTGTAGATGTAGATGTGTAAAGTAAAAAAAATAAAGCAAATGAACACTAAATGAATATATCAATAATAATGTGATGTGGTGGCTGAACTCACAATCTTTTATCTTGCCCTATTGAAACCAGACATTTGCATACAAAATGTCACATTTACCATTTTCTCTCACTGTCTGTTTAAAGACACAGTAATCATTCTGTAAGCTTCAGATGTTTAAGATATCAATAAATAAATCTATATTTTGTCCCATTATTGTGGCATTTATCAAATAGAAATAATTTTGGTCATTCTGAGTGATGTAAAGCAAGAGATGTTTGATCTGCTTTAATATTGAGCACAAATAAAAAAAGTCAATTTGTCTTTTTATTCAGTGTTTTTAAAAAAGATAGGAAATTTTAAACAACAGCGCCACCTGCAGTGGAATACAATCAATAAAATGTGCCAATTTGTAAACCAGGCTTCTTCACATTACCAAATTAAAGCAAAACATTTGCTATTTGTTTCTTCTCTACTTTGGATAGAAACCAAGAGTTATGAAACCGACAAGTTTAATAGGTAACATTAATGAAGTTTATTAAAACGTCTGACAGAATACTGAATCTCAAAATGACATCTAACTCCACTGAGTCCAAAAGGCCAGACATGCTTAACATTGTATCATGTTGCATAGCAGCGTCTTATGCTATCTGAAATTGCTAAAAAAAAAAAAAAAAAGGCAAAGCAAGATATTTGTACAAACTCTTTGCATACATGGCTATTTAAGGTCCTTCACATGAACTGTTTCCTCAGTTTAAATCTTCTCAATGAAGTCGTCTCCAAAGTTGATCATATTCCTCAGAGCGCTGAGGATCAACATATCAATATCATCGTTCAAGTCGATTTCTTCACTGTAGTTCTTCACAGGGAAGATGCAGTTCAGGGGGATTCCCACTGCTGAGCTGAAGTCTCTCATCTGAAAAGTAAAAACCAGTCAGTTACTGTCTGAAATATTGTTCTTTTCGGTTTTATTGTTGAACCAGGGACGTGCTGTGAGGTCATGAGCCTCATCGCACATTTCAATCTGATGTATCAAATTTATAAATCCAAACGTCTGCATCTCAATTTTGACCTGAACTGCACACATTATTTTAAAATCTTAAAGTCAATGGCAAAATGTTACATCAAGATACATCAAGAAAAATAAGAAGTATAGGAGATTTTTTTTTCATTAAATGTTGTCTACTGTTGATCTCGCTTTCCTTATATAAACTGAAACTCACAGAATATAAACCTTTATTTGTACATAAATGCCATATTTCTATCCTTTTATACAAATATCTTTGTTAGTCTGTAAAAATTCCCAAGCTTGTCTCTCATTTTTATTTATTTATTTTATTGACTTTTAGGCCAATCAGAAAGATTTAGCATATCGCTCACATTTATTAAAAGGCTAAACAGACTATGGAATATTTACAATGTGGTGTTAGGGTCATCATTACAAATATTAATTAATAAAAAACAAAATTATAACAGACAAAATTACGAGAACAAATTACAAATTATAAATTTGTAATACTGACTTTATTCATTATTTTGTCTTATTTTTTTGAGATTATTCACATATCATTTTGACTATTCTCTTAATACCGTGACTTTATTCTCGTCATTTAATTTACTTAATCGTTTTCTTAATGTGGCCCTAATACTCAGCACGCATAGCAAATGTGTAAGTTAAAATAGTGGATTGGCGATAATGGGCATGTGTTGACTGTCTGTGATTCAGTGTGACACAGCGCCACCAGAAGTGAGATACAGTATTAAAATTTTCATCCATAAATGTTGAAAGCACAGAGAAAACAGTTACTTCCCAATTTGACTATTTTTCTAGTCAAAATGAGACATTGCTTCAAGTCGCTGCCCTGAATAACATGCATGAAAATCACCTTTTTTCTCAGGTACTTGCTCTTGTAGACTTTCCTCAAGTCTTTCTGAGTTTCACTGCAGGCTTCATCTATACGCGTCATCATGGCCATTTGAGGAATTCCTGCACAAACAAAACACACTCAAGTAAATGGCATTTGTGTTCTTATCAGTAATTGTCAATGAATGCAGATGCAGTTTCAATTAGAGACCCTGAATTGGACCTTGTAATGGATTTTATCTGTTTACATGATGTCTGAATGAGATCATTCTCTCTAAACTCACCCAGCTCACTGGCTGCTTCTCTGATGCTCTTCATTTTCTCCAGAATCGATGATTTCATCTGTGGAGTGTTGGCTGACATCACACAGACCAGGACATGAACTTTGTCATCAGCAGAGGGGGTCGGGTTGTAACCTGGGTCATCCTGAGATATTGGAGCAACTGGGTTGAACTGGAAGAGAGTAAAAAGATGTAGCATGAAAAAACATTTCAAAGACACAACTCTGGTATGTTAATTAGGGGCTAAAGCCAGTCATTCATGTAGATATTTCACAACTTGTTTATGCAGTTGCTGCACCTTGTGGCCTTCCTTCACATGACCCTCCAAAGCCAGTTTGATGTCGTCAGCATGAACTCCCCTGTCGGTTCCATCTTCCAGACCCATGATGTCGTTGAAGACCAGAGGATAAAATGTCTTTGAGCTTCCTCGTCCTTTAATGAACTTATGAGTCTCGTACTAAAATGCAGACAAAAAAAACTCCTGTTGGTTTCACAGATGTCTTACAGACTGATTCATTAAACGTCTCGCAGAACCAGAACCAACAAATAGAAGAGAAGAAGCTCAGAGCTAATCTCCGTCTCTGCACACAGACTTTATGAACACAGACTTTATGAACACAGAAATCTTAACAGATTCAGTGTTCAAACTACAGTTTTGACAAGCCAGTGTGGTTCTAGTAAACATTATTTAATCTTTTCTAATAGTACTATAGCAGTATTAGCTTCAATCTGGAAGATAAACAGAAGCATCTTAGTTTTCAGACCTTTTTGGTGAAGCTTTGGTCAGACGTGGTCGCGCTGGCCAAAGCAGGAATCGACATCCGACCTCGAATGACGTTACTGACAGAGTTGATGAAACTGGACTTCCCAGATCCAACTGGTCCGTAAAGAAGGACTCGGAGGTACTTGATGTCATCTTTTTCTGGTTTGTATTCCTGCACATATTTAAGGTTCTTCTCTTTTTCTCTGAGAATGTAAAGTAAATCAGTTGGTTAGAGCTGTCCTAATAATGAATAAGGCAAGAGAATATATTTCAGTTCAATATTATCAAGTCAGTACAATAACCACCACAGCTATCCGTCAGTCTGTCTTCCATTCTTATCACTAATGTGGTAGCAAGGTGTGCTGGTGCTGATGTCCAGTGCTCAACAGGCGCGAGGCGGGGTCACCCTGGACAGGTCGCCAGTCCATTGCAGGGCAACACAGAGACAGACAGGACAAACACCCATGCACACAGACAGCTAAGGAGAATTTAGAGAAACCCATCGACCTGATAGTCATGTTTTTGGAAACCAGAGTACCCAGAGAGAACCCCTGCATGCAAAAGGAGAACATGCAAACTCCATGCAGAAAGACTCTAGGTCAGGAATCGAACCCAGGACCTTCATGCTGCAAGGCAAGTTAAGTGGCACAGTTGGCTGACAACTGTTTAACTGAACATACCAAAGAACAGCATTTATATGCTCTTCAAACATGTCTAATGTTTGCTGATGAAGAAAAGGATAAACTAAAATAATTGTTCTTTCTTCAACCATATCATTTGACTTCAGTCCTGCTCAGGTTCATGTTGCTGTTCAATAATGTTTAATTTTCATTCTGTAGCGTTGTATATTTTAGGACGTTTCCAGACTCCGAGACCAGCGAGAAGTAGTTCAAATCACCTTTTTACCTTTAACTTGTGCAATTTACCTAAAAGCCATATGCAATGAACACATTTGCTGCAATAACCTGTTTTTAACTGGTTATCAATAGAGGCCTGAACGGTTTGGAAAGAATATAGGTAAGGTATTTCAGACTACGGCCATTTCAAACCCTAAGAAGCAATAATAGTCTTAAAATAACTCCTGGACGACTAAGAATCCAGGGGACATTAAGTTCCAGCATCTTATCAGGTTCTCATCCGGAAACATGAAGCTTTGTTCATAGCATGAAAGCTTTGTAATGAATAACTGTCATCTATTCATTACATAGATAAAAGCTGATTTTTCTTTGTTATGCTCTTCAAAAAAAGAAAGTAAACAAGATCTTTGCATTGTTTTTGAGAGAGATGTGCCCTGTAAACCTGCTCTTAACTAAGAGCAAACATCAGCTTTGACCACATTCATCGTTACAACAATATTGCTGTAAACTCACTCCCAGTTTAGTTCCCTCCATGGTTCCTCCAGAACTGAACAGAAACATGAGTTATTATTCTGCAAAGATGACTGGAACCTTCTCAGAAACAAAATGCAAAAAACTTACTTTCAGACTCAAGCTCCTCAACTTCAGCAGAGAAAAACAGAAAAAAATACATAAATAAAACAGTTTCTGACAGATTTACTTCAGTTCAGTATTTTCAATTTCATCCAAACTGAAACAAACACCATTTAAAATTTTATTTTCAATTTAAATCAGTTTCAGGATCAGAAGCAGGAGATGGAGGATATAAAGCATTAGGCAGTGTTGGATTTGAAACGCCAACTTACCAGAATGTCGATTTTTCCCTTTTATAAAAGAGAAAAGGAAAAAGATTATAAAATACTGAAAATGTTTTCTGTAGAATTTACTGATCAAATGAATCTGAATAAAGTTTTTATCAGAATCTACTAAAAAGAAGTCTGATATTTTCTTGTCATAAGTATTTTATGAAAGCTTTTTGAATCACTTTTTTTTTTTTACAAATATCTAGAAAAGTAATCTAAAGTACAATGCACTCACACAAAAATCGATTCATCCTGTTGCTGCTGCTCCGCTGTAAAATGAATAAACATCCGTCTCCTCCCCTACATAAGAACTGCTGTTTTGCCAAAACAGGAAAGTCTTTTATTTTCACTTTCTCTTTTCTTTGTTCTGCAGTGACATTGTTGTACTTGCTGCAAACATTGTGAAGCATGGCAGGAAATTGAATTATACTCATATAGGCTTTCAACAACTGCTGGAGGAAGCACTGCTTGTAGATGTGTAAAGTAAAAAAAATAAAGCAAATGAACACTAAATGAATATATCAATAATAATGTGATGTGGTGGCTGAACTCACAATCTTTTATCTTGCCCTATTGAAACCAGACATTTGCATACAAAATGTCACATTTACCATTTTCTCTCACTGTCTGTTTAAAGACACAGTAATCATTCTGTAAGCTTCAGATGTTTAAGATATCAATAAATAAATCTATATTTTGTCCCATTATTGTGGCATTTATCAAATAGAAATAATTTTGGTCATTCTGAGTGATGTAAAGCAAGAGATGTTTGATCTGCTTTAATATTGAGCACAAATAAAAAAAAGTCAATCTGTCTTTTTATTCAGTGTTTTTAAAAAAGATAGGAAATTTTAAACAACAGCGCCACCTGCAGTGGAATACAATCAATAAAATGTGCCAATTTGTAAACCAGGCTTCTTCACATTACCAAATTAAAGCAAAACATTTGCTATTTGTTTCTTCTCTACTTTGGATAGAAACCAAGAGTTATGAAACCGACAAGTTTAATAGGTGACATTAATGAAGTTTATTAAAACGTCTGACAGAATACTGAATCTCAAAATGACATCTATCTCCACTGAGTCCAAAAGGCCAGACATGCTTAACATTGTATCATGTTGCATAGCAGCGACATATGCTATCTGAAATTGCTAAAAAAAAAAAAAAAAAAAGGCAAAGCAAGATATTTGTACAGCCTCTTTGCATACATGGCTATTTAATGTCCTTTACATGAACTGTTTCCTCAGTTTAAATCTTCTCAATGAAGTCGTCTCCAAAGTTGATCATATTCCTCAGAGCGCTGAGGATCAACATATCAATATCATCGTTCAAGTCGATTTCTTCACTGTAGTCTTCACAGGGAAGATGCAGTTCAGGGGGATTCCCACTGCTGAGCTGAAGTCTCTCATCTGAAAAGTAAAAACCAGTCAGTTACTGTCTGAAATATTGTTCTTTTCGGTTTTATTGTTGAACCAGGGACGTGCTGTGAGGTCATGAGCCTCATCGCACATTTCAATCTGATGTATCAAATTTATAAATCCAAACGTCTGCATCTCAATTTTGACCTGAACTGCACACATTATTTTAAAATCTTAAAGTCAATGGCAAAATGTTACATCAAGATACATCAAGAAAAATAAGAAGTATAGGAGATATTTTTTTTTTCATTAAATGTTGTCTACTGTTGCTCTCGCTTTCCTTATATAAACTGAAACTCACAGAATATAAACCTTTATTTGTACATAAATGCCATATTTCTATCCTTTTATACAAATATCTTTGTTAGTCTGTAAAAATTCCCAAGCTTGTCTCTCATTTTTATTTATTTATTTTATTGACTTTTAGGCCAATCAGAAAGATTTAGCATATCGCTCACATTTATTAAAAGGCTAAACAGACTATGGAATATTTACAATGTGGTGTTAGGGTCATCATTACAAATATTAATTAATAAAAAACAAAATTATAACAGACAAAATTACGAGAACAAATTACAAATTATAAATTTGTAATACTGACTTTATTCATTATTTTGTCTTATTTTTTTGAGATTATTCACATATCATTTTGACTATTCTCTTAATACCGTGACTTTATTCTCGTCATTTAATTTACTTAATCGTTTTCTTAATGTGGCCCTAATACTCAGCACGCATAGCAAATGTGTAAGTTAAAATAGTGGATTGGCGATAATGGGCATGTGTTGACTGTCTGTGATTCAGTGTGACACAGCGCCACCAGAAGTGAGATACAGTATTAAAATTTTCATCCATAAATGTTGAAAGCACAGAGAAAACAGTTACTTCCCAATTTGACTATTTTTCTAGTCAAAATGAGACATTGCTTCAAGTCGCTGCCCTGAATAACATGCATGAAAATCACCTTTTTTCTCAGGTACTTGCTCTTGTAGACTTTCCTCAAGTCTTTCTGAGTTTCACTGCAGGCTTCATCTATACGCGTCATCATGGCCATTTGAGGAATTCCTGCACAAACAAAACACACTCAAGTAAATGGCATTTGTGTTTCTTATCAGTAATTGTCAATGAATTCAGATGCAGTTTCAATTAGAGACCCTGAATTGGACCTTGTAATGGATTTTATCTGTTTACATGACGTCTGAATGAGATCATTCTCTGTAAACTCACCCAGCTCACTGGCTGTTTCTCTGATGCTCTTCATTTTCTCCAGAATGGATGAATTCATCTGTGGAGTGTTGGCAGACATCACACAGACCAGGACATGAACTTTGTCGTCAGCAGAGGGGGTCGGGTTGTAACCTGGGTCATCCTGAGATATTGGAGCAACTGGGTTGAACTGGAAGAGAGTAAAAGATGCAGCATGAAAAGCATTTCAGATAGATACACATCTGGTCTTTAAACCAGGGATACATCCATTCATTCATTCATACAGAGTTTTCATGACTTGTTTATGCAGTTGCTGCACCTTGTGTCCTTCCTTCACATGTCCTTTCAAAGCCAGTTTGATGTCGTCAGCATGAACTCCCCTGTTGGTTCCATCTTCCAGACCCATGATGTCATTGAAGACCACAGGATAAGATGTCTTTGAGCTTCCTCGTCCTTTAATGAACTTATGAGTTTCATACTAAAGAAAAAATCATAAATAAATAAATTTGAACCAGAGAAAACTCCTGTTGCTGAAACAGTTATTGATATAAAGTCCATTCTACAATATAAAGAGAAGTCTGTTAGTTTTCAGACCTTTTTGGTGAAGCTTTGGTCAGACGTGGTCGCGCTGGCCAAAGCAGGAATCGTCATCCGGCCTCTGAGGACGTTACTGACAGAGTTGATGAAACTGGACTTTCCAGCTCCAACTGGTCCGTAAAGAAGGACTCGGAGGTACTTGATGTCATCTTGTTCTGGTTTGTATTCCTGCACATATTTAAGGTTCTTCTGCTTTTCTCTGAGAACGTAAAGTTCCATCCAAAAATGAATGAAATGCATAAAATAATCGAACAAGATGCCAACCCAGTTAGATTCAGAGACCAGCAGAAGAACTCAATAAAAGAAACCATAAAGAAATTATGAATCAGGAATTAAAACCCTGTATTTAGCAGCCTGATGTATTTAAAAACCACTTACTAAAGTATCCTTTGGACTAATCCCACTTCACTCTCCATTTGGTCCTTGTCAGGAATAGTAAAGTCTTGTATTAATTGTACAAATCAAAGGTTGTTTATTGCAAAAGAATTGTATCAAGCTCTTTTAATTGGATTCTCAGAGAGATTTGATTTTGAACAAAGCCTTATCACATTGCTTCATGATGATTTTATTAACCATTTTATAGCGACAATATCATGTAATATCCAATTTTTTCAGCTGCATACCAGGTTATAATGTAACTTCCTCATTAAAAAACATACCTGAAGTTTTCATGAATGTTTGAGAAATTCTTTATTTTCACATGGCAACCATTAAGCTGGCAAAACGCCTGGGTGGATTGAGTGCCAGATGGAAGAAACTCCACCTCACAGAGCACCTCTCCTGCTCAGTTCCTCCAAACTAGCCAGGAACAATTAGCAAACAACTGTGCATCTACTGAGCTCATTAGGGGAGTTATGTCTCAGTGCAGTGCTAGTAGAAAACCTTCTAAAGGATTAATAGAGGAGTAATATTGTGATGACTTCCTGACAGAGCAGGAGTTTTTAAAGTCCCCTGGATTTTCAAGGCATCAAATAAGGAGGTAAAATTTCTCTTAAGTCATATTTGATATAACATTGTTATAACATTTTCATAACAACTGCAAGTAATATACTTACTTGGTTATGCTATAAAATCACATTATGTGTATGGAAAACATACTATCCCTTTAAGTTTATCCATTGCATACTAGACTTGTTCCAATCCACTCATGAGCATTTTAATCATGAATGTCATAATCCTTTTGCCCTTCATTATCCCTGTTCTCTTGCTAAGGGCAAAGCTTAGCTTTGACTCCATCACATTCTTATTTTCTGTTATCAGTGGTCAGCTCATTTGCTTTATAGTCCTCCATCTTGTAACAAATCCTTTTCAGCTAAAAAAATAAAATAAATAACTACATTTATTTAAACTGTGCTCTTCCTGTTTGTTGATAATTTTCCCTACAGTCATTTTTTTTTTCATTTGTCCTATTTTCAACGTAACACTTTATCATAGAGTCCCTGCAGTTTCCTTCCTGTTCCACTGAATTCCCCCATTTCCTGTTAAATCACAGTTCTTTTGGATCAAGCAGCTGTGATCAGAACAAGCAGAACGTCCCACAAAAAGCCCAGTTTTACATTTCAGCAGAGTGACAAACAACCCAGCAGCAGTAAAGAGGTTGTTATTGATCAGAGATGACAGTTTTAATGTAAACTCACCCCCAGTATAGTTCCCTCCACGGTTCATCCAGAGCTGAACAGAAACATGAATTATTATTCTGCAACGATGACTGAAATATTTTAGAAACTTTATGTTATCACTCACTTAGAGACTCTGCCTCTTCAGCTTCTGAAAGCAACAACAAAAAATTATTAATTAAACTGTTCCTGAAATACTTTTTTAAAGTCAATTTTCCATGTTATCCAAAGTAAATTATAATTTTACAATCACTCACTTGAACACTGAGCCAAACGAGCTTTAGAGAAAAAAACAGAAGAGAAATTATAATTAATCTTTAGCTGAAGGATATTTTTTGATCAAGTTAGTCTTTCTAAATGTATTAAAACTGACACAAAATAACATTTTAAAATGTTGAAGGCAGTGAATGTGAAGCATTAAATAGCATTGGATTTTGACACTTTAACTTACCAACATGTCTTGGGGCCCCAAACACTTGTCCTTTTAAAAAAAGAGAAAATAAAATAAAAACTTATGACTGTCACTGCAGAGTAAATGGGTGGTTCATAATGAATCCTGCAGAATTTTAATCAGATTTGCTGAATCTGATTCAATTTATACAAATATCTAGAAAAGTCATGTGAAATAAAATATACTGACCAAATAGATGCACAAAAGGATCATTGTGTCGAGCCATCCTGCTGTTGCTGTTGTTGCTGCTCAGTTGCAAAATGAACCAGCAGCAACTTTCTCCTCCTTTATATTACATCTGCTGCTCTGATGAACCAAATGACTTCTGATAAATCCCTTTTACTTTCACTTTCTGTTTGGTCTGTGCTGCAGTGATAAGAGCTTTTATTTGTTGACTGGAATAGCTTCCCATTTTATTGATCAAACTTAACCATTTTTACTTATAGCTGACCAGAATGTTTTGTTTCCCAGATGTTTTTCTCCACAAACAACCTCAGCTCAAATACAGGACAAAGAAGTCTAATTAACTGATGAGTTTTATCAGCCTTTTTTATGTTTTATTATCAAGCACTTTCTCCTGACTTGAAGGAAGCTTGAATCATTCCTCACTGCTCAGTCATTCCCTTCAGCAGCGCACACAATTTGAATTATTTCACCAGGAACTCTAACATATTGCAAAGTGACACAGAAACAGTCAATTCATTTATCTGGGGTCTGGATAACTGCATTTATTCTAATTTAGCTCATACTGAGACATATATAAATAGAAGCTCTGCAGACTGAAAGTGAAAGTTTCTGCTGTAGCTTCAGATAAGCTGCAAGGTTTATTATAAGTCACATGTTCAGAGCAGGGTGGTGCAGGATGGTGCTGGGTGGGGACAGAAAGACCCTGCAGTAGACCAACAGCTCAACTCAGAGCTGTTTACTATGATGTCACTTGGTGCAGAATTAAATGTAAACTATTTTGTTATGTGCCTTTACTAAGGGTCGCACCACTTCATCTTTTTTACGTCAAGGTCAGCATAATAAAAGTAAAGTCAATGACGACTAATTGTGATATCAGAGAAACTTAAGAAAAAAGAAAACAGCTATTTTCATTGCAAATATTGACAAATGATCACTTAGGCATAAGTCTATTATGTAGCATGAAAAGAACAAAAAAAAAAACCCTGCTCAGCAGCAGAGTGGTGATCTTTTGTCACTGTGAACCAAAATATCGAGTCTGACTTTTATTTCTTCTAACACCAGGTTGACAAATATTATTGGTGTCTTGAGTGAGCCAGGTGTTATCTGTTTCTGTTGTTATGAGGGCGTCACAGAGCCTTTGTGTGACGTGGAAGTGTTTTGGAGGTGAAAGTTAAGAGTTTAGGAGTTAAGTTGATTTTTAAGAGAGATATATAATCTGAATAACAGGGAACATCAACAGGTCTTCTGAAAGGAAACTCCTTAGTGGGGGGAAAGTGTATGATCTGATTGGTTATTATCCTATTTCGCAGCTTTAATATTCATTTGGAACAGTGTTTTTTGTTTTATAAAAATAAATGTAATTGTAAATCAGTCTACATTAGTTTAATGAAACTGTTATAATTCTTATTCACACTGACTAATCAAGTTTCACTTTAAGATGAAAATCTTTTATTTCTAAATTAGAGGTTGCTCTATGTTGTTTATCACTCCAAACCAATTTGAAAATATCTTGTAATTCTTCAGTTTAATGCTAATAAGAATGCAGTTTGTTTATCTGAATAAAGACAGATATGGCTTCTCTGAGTTGAAGCACATTCATTAAACTGTGCTACAAAAACCTGATCAATTGAATGTTTCTTACAATTCGCTACAGTTTCAAAATCTCACAATTAACTTCACAGAAAACACAATGTAGAGATATATTTTTTTCTATAACGTAATTCTCTCAAACAACTAATTGTTTTGAAATTATTGTAAGAGTCTAAGCTTATTTCTTTGAACTTCAGTTCAAAGCATAAAACAAAAGAGAAGAATTCATTAAACATTGCTTCCTCAGACTGAACATCAATTTGAGCCGCATAACTCTGGTGAAAGATGCACTGAAGGCAAACAGGGACCAATCAGTGCTGTCAGCAGGGGGTGAGGCTGGAGCAGCAGAGGACAGTGTTGTCTTTAGTTTGGCAATAATGTCCTGTGAAGTTTAATCACATTGATTTTACAGTTATAATATTAATGTCACATAAAAAGCTGTGAGTAGTGAAATCAGAGGTAGCAACAAAACAATCTGTGCCGCTCACCTTCCTTTCTTTCCTATGTGGAACATTAGATTATTGAAAACAGACACAAATGACAATAAATGAAACAAATAATTATTCTGTTTATTCAGCGATGTTTTGTCTGTCAGTAAAGGTGTAATGAAAACCAACCAACATTAAACATGACACTTATTGGTGGTACGTTCCAGTAACAACATCTGCAATTAAAATGCATACAAATAAGATCTAATCATCCTAATCCAGTAGAAAATCTACATGTTCTACATCATTTATTTCCACTGTTTTTATTTTTCAAAGCTGAATAACATTTTGAGTTTCTCAGTTTGAGGTTGAGGAAAAAATTGGAACCTTCTGCATAAGTGGGTATGAGAAGAGGAGTGGGATTACATCACAGGAAGTTCATCCAGCAAACAGGAAACTGACTTCAGTCTTACAGGATGAAATAAACAGGGGAACAAACCCAGACCAGAACATTTTCTGCACACCTGTCTATCTTCTGTTCTTTTTTTCTTTTATTTGCTAATTACGGTAGTTTCGGCCCAAATCTTCCCTCGAATCAGAACAAACTTGTAGTTCGTTATAAAATACATTCTAGTAGAGAAAAACATTCAGAAAAAACAGAATTGAAGACACATGGAAGAAAAAACTGCTGTTTACAGTCTGAAGCTCAGTAAATCCAAGTTTTTCCTTTGTTATTCCATCATCAAATAATAATACGCTATTGTGGTCTCTGCTGAAAAGTATTGATATATTAAAGTACTTAAAACAAAACTGGCAGAAAGCAGAAGCTCTCTATGTCTTGGAGAGAAGTTTGTCTTCAATTAACTTGATTGCTTGGTCATTTTGTGAACATTTCAGTAATCCTTTTGCAGTCTCATGGTAAAAAACATGGACATAAAACACATTTTTCAGCACTTCAGAGGTGTCACATCCTGCAGTGGAATAGTCCAGGTCTCTGGTGTGATGCATCAGAACCAGAATGAACAGTTTACCAGATGATGAGACTGGAAAACAAAATAAATACATAGTGATTATCATGTAGAGCTGAGTTCATCAAATGGAAATAAACTTCTCTCTCAGTTTAAATCTGGAAATGTGAACTGGAGCAAACTAAATCCTGGCCTTCAACACTAGTCTGAACCAAGAAGTGGATCATGGATCATAAACGTTCTGGTTTTACAAGTCAAAATGAAATGAAACAACAATTTTCACTTTAATTATCACTTATTTTTGATAACTTAGATTAACTAAAAACTTACAAAATCAAAAGTCCAACAATTCATTATCCTGATTGAATTAAACCTTTTACTCTTTTGACCTATAAGTTTAGTTCTGATATGAAATGAAACATATTTATCAAAACATATGGAAATAATTCAAAAGGAGGATAAAATAGGAAAAAAAAGATTTTTATTAAAGATTAAAATACTGAAACTTATTTATATCCTTCTGAATAATACATAAATTTTTAGGCCTTACAGTAATCAGACCCTTATCATTGTTGACCAGGTTTTTGCATGATTTCTGGAAGACCCTCATGTTTTGTGTATTTGCCTATTTTGATCAAAAGGGTGAATTGAAATTTTTATAAATGAGCATAAAATGTTCAGAAACACTTTATTTGACGGGTTGTGAATAAGACTGTCATGACACCGTCATAAACATGACATAACACCTGTCCTGAACATGAGTAAGTCATAAAGTGTCTTTCAGTAAATCATGACAATTAAAGTTGACATTATTCAAAATGTCTTTGTTATGACAATTTGTCATTAATCAACAAATTATGATTTGACATACATTTGTTATAAATGTATTACTGATTAAACTATAAAAATTATTTAGCTTGATGTTATTAAAGCTAAAGTTTAATCACAACCCGTCAAATAAAGTGTTACCAAAAATTCTTCTAATAATTTAAATGTCAGTTGTTATTGGTGAACAAATATGAAGCCCTGATTTGTTTATACTAACCAGATTGTTGTGCAAGAAGTTCTAGCATTACATGCAGTCAAAGGCAACACAGTGATGAAAATCTATGAAAGCTGCATTTTTGTTGTTTTTCTTTTACTATGGGGATGTAGAAAACACAGCAGGCCCATTTTATTTATCCTTTAAGTGCAAAACATAATGTGACAAATCAAACTATCTGGCTGGAACCAGATGCTGGTAATGGTAAAATGAATTAGAAGTTGCAAATGATTATTACCTCCTTCTTTTTCCATGGCAGACTTTACTTCTGATTCATAACTGCTACTGACTGGACAGAAGACAATGATGATGCTGCAGTTCCTCCTGGTTGTTTCTTCCAAATGCACTGATGACTTTAAGTTGTTCTTCAATTGTTTCATTATGGCAGCATCAGCACCAAAAGTATCACTGGTAAGAGTACAGTGGACCTTCACCACTGGAGTTGGAATAAACCATCCTCTGCTGCTAGCTGAAAAAGTTGGATAATAGTTGACATTAATATCTGCCAAACTTTCACATATTACAAAATGTGTAAAAATGGAAGATGGACTTACTGGGTTGATTTGATTTCTCAGGTTTGTTTAGAGTTGTTAGTTTATCTTGTAATTAAAAGTAACAGAAATAAAAACAAACCATAAATATTATGATTAAATTCTTGGCAACACATCTGTTTATGATTGACACTAAAGTCAGTTTCAGACAAGTTCAGTCATTTACAGTGAAAGAAAAAAGGATAAATAATCTCATTATGAATGTATAATTTAAATAATATTCTTTCAAAAATGGTTACAATTTTTTAATAAAAGAGCATATTCTATTAGATTATATAGTTTGTATTCATAGAATTGCTTCCACAGACCTGTCAGATAAGAAAAAGCACCACTCACACGACTCCGTAGTGAAGAGTTATTGGTCTCATATTCTGGTATTTGAAAAAAATAAAGAAAGTTTCTTTCAGAGCTGCAGCAGAAACTGAAACTAAACATAATGTGGGATCCAATAATAACAAGCATGTTGTCGCCAGTGCAACACAAACTTATCATGACTCAATAAGTACTGGAATGAATCTATAATACTCAGAATAACTATCAGCATCTGTAACACAAGGTACTGTGTGACATCACCATGTTTATAATCATGTATGTAAGAAAATAAAATATATAAGTTAACTTATGTTTGCAACAGTTACCAAAATAAAACTTTGTTGACTTACCCAAGTTGTTCACCATTGCAGATGATGTTTCTGCAGAGAGAGCAGGTAGTTCTAACTTAGTTTTTACATAAACAATGTTTTAGCTTTCATGTAGCTAAACTTTGGATTTAAAATTTGATCAAAGGCAAAAAACGAACCCGCAGTCGCCCCTTCTGGCTTGTTGTCCTACACACAGAAGAAACATCCAGAAAAAAACATGTAAGAATAAAGCTATACATTGAATGTTGATGATTCAATTGAATGTAGATTATTTGCTGGGCAAAGATGGCCTGACACAGGAAAGGCCATCTTTAGAATAGGACTGTGGTATTATTAGCAAAGAAGAAAAAAAAACTATATGTCTTTTTTTTATTTTTAGACAGTCAAGTGTATGAGTTTTAACTGAATGTAGCATAAAAGCATCAGAAGAAATTTATCCTAAAATCTTCACAGAATTTATGTGGATTAAATGCTTAATGAGCTAAATTTGGAAAACAAGCTGATTTTTTTTCTCACTGTGTGTGAGGACATTTGGCTTGGAGTTGTTTAATTATTACTAATAACATGAATAATTCTGATCCAGAGATCTCATTTAGTCCCCTCTCATTCCCCATTATCACTGTAGATAAACTTTAATGTTCTCACACTTTTGAGTTTAGAGGTAGTTGAGAGTCACCTCTGCTTTTTAAAATTGTGTATCCAATTATAGCTTTGCTCTCTAAGTCCTGTACATAAACATTGCATCCATTCAATACATCTTTTCAGCTGCAAAAGGACTGAATGGTAAGTTTTTAGAAGACACTCATGTACCTTCACACCACAACCTCCATCATAAGAACAATATGTTCACATTCAATATTAGTGAGAAGTAATTCTGGGCACCCAATCCATTTGTTTTTCATATTTTATTGCTCTGGTAACACTTGACCAACACTTGACACTGAACTTAAATCTTTATTCGCTTCCTACTTTTTAAGAAGAAAAATTTTATCTGATATTTTATGTATAATATCCTTCTAACTACAACTAGATCTGACTGAATTTCATCTCCTAATATTTGTGTCAGTTATCTTCTTCATGCAAGTTCTAATCAAAATATTTAGATTTTCTTGTTGACAGAAAAGTCTCTGTCGGCAATTCCACACTGGTTTAGCCCCTTTGATGGAAAAAACAAATTGTAATAGACAGACAGGAGCTCTACACAGGCAACAGAAGATAAACTGTAAAAACTTTGTGTTCAGCTCTACATACATAGATCTATGAACTCTGATGTTTAAAATCACCTGCTCTGCACAGAGAAAATTCTGACTAAAGAAAGCTGACTAGTCATCTTAGCTTATGTTAGATATTTTTTAACATTATCATTTTGTTGTTACTTTAGTTTATATTCAGTCTAAAGTATTATTGTGATTTTAGTATAAACTGACCTGGAGGTTACGACTGTCTTCATGCGAGATAGTAAAACTTTATGGTTCTCAGACCCTAAAGTTTTCTCTGGTGTTTATCTACCCGGTCTTAGGTGACAGTTTGACCCAGAGCTGAACTGGGCTCAGATTGTAAATTAGATATCACACCTGGAACTGAGTTGTTGGTCTGTTTGTGTTAAATGTTTTACGACCTCTGTTGTTTGATGCTTTGACAATAAAGAGGGAGCTCACGTGAAAGCAGATCAGAACTCTCTTTTGACCAGCCCGGAGGAGCTGTTGATCGGGATTTCTCCTTCTGCAGAAGCCTGACCATATTTAATTCATATACGTTGTCTGTGGTTATTTTATTGTAGGTTCAAGGAAAATACCTAACAGCTTACCTTAGAAATATTAAAGGAGAACTCAATGTTGAATCCACCCATCTTATTAGTCCAGCTAGAAACACTGTGTCTTACAGGAAAACTGTCTTTACAGTTGGGACATTGCATCTCTTTGCTGGTAACTTTAGCCTGAAGAGACAAGAGAGAAACTTTTCACTGTGAAGTTATATTACATACTATTGATATACAAAAGTCAAACAAGGTGATAGTGTGACGGTCTTGAGCTGCTTTGATTGTTGAGAACCTGTTGGACTTTCTGCAATTATTGTAACCATATTGTAACCTACCTGAAACTCCTGCAGGACCTTTGGGTTTTGTAGGACATTCGTGCTCGAACCACACAGTTGAATTAAAACAATTCCTGACAAAATTCCTCAACAAATATTTAAAACGATTGTTGCCAGTTTAAAAAAAATGTTTGATAGCACTTGTTGCTGTCAGGGGCAACACTGTCAGTTAATTGTTCAATTAAGTATCTTGTCCTTTCTTTTCTCAGTAAATTAAATCATTATTTGAAGACCTTTTCAACTTATATTTTCTCTTCCTAAAGTTAAACTTTGTTTGAAGAACTGAAATACTATTGTATTACTAAATTGTATTATAAATAAATAAATAAATCAATGGAAATGTTCTTACATCTCATAAAGATCTATGTCGTCTTAGGTTTTATCTTACCTTGTTTGTCCAGTCTAACTTTTCCTTGAAATCATCATGCAGGTCATCTTCATTGTCCTGGTGCAGACCAATATTAAGTTTATAGTGGTCATTTATCTCCTTACAGAACGTGACAGAAGGAGCAAACTCTGCTTTACAGGTTGGGCATTTCATCAACTTCTCAGCCTATAAATCAAGAGAGACCATTGGTGTTAAAAACAAAAAATTATTATTTTATTGACATTTTCATCATTTCACCTCACAGACTCAAACATTTTACAAACAGAAACTTTTCAAAAATCGGATCTTTATCATTTTTGCACATCACAGAAAACTTGCCTTCCACCCTCTAATAACAAATAAGTCACAAGAAACCTTACCCATGATCCTGTGGGTCCTGTTCCTGACTCATTGTTTTGCTTTTTCTTTTTGTTTTCTGGCTCAGATATATCCATAGAAGTGTTGTTATCTATGAAGACAGGTGATTGGATGTTCAGGTACACAGAACAGACTTCATATTCGTTTAATTGTGACATTGATGTAAATTTCAAACTGTCATGGTTCATGTTTTCATGGATCTTTCCAAAGGTGAACACACCAAGAGTTTTTTCAACAGATAGTATTTTGTTTGATGATTTTTGATATTGACAAGGTCATTAATAATGACTATAATTTGGTAATTTGATTTCCCAAACTAATTCACAATTATATTTGGTAAAATGCTTAATTAAAGTAATTAAACTTTGTTTCTTCAGGTTTTTTTCCCTTGTTTATCATATTCCTTGTAACCAATGAGATTCAACCTAAGTGTAAACTGATGAAATTATACTTTTTGGTTATTAAAAGTTTACTGTCCTGGAATAAATAACTCGCTCCATTTTAGTTGACTTAATTAGCATTTTCACCAAACATGACATCACCACCCAATCATGTCAATGTCCTGACTGTCATCTTAAATTTTTATTAAATAAAACTATTTTAGGAGGTTAGTAAAACATTATTGTAATTTCATTTTACAAAAATGAGAATCAATCAGATTTGCTTGAAGGTTTGAACAGATTTGGCCTCAGATTTCATATGGAAATTTATAAATTTGTGGGTCAGAGTTTCATCCAAAGTCTCTCTGCCATGTAGTGGAGGACTGTCATGGACTATAATAAGTCATAATAAGTTGAGTTCAGGTTTATCTGATAGTAGTTCTTGCTTGTATTGTTACTGATTAGAAAAATGATTGTCTGACTGTCTGAAAGTGTTGCTGGAGTCTCCTAACCAGATCTCTGGCTCTCTCCATGCAAGTAGCAACAGCTCTAAAGCAGGGAAATGGAAGAGTAAATAAAATCTAGAGGAAACACACTGGTCTGATCAGAGGCTCACCAGGAGGTGTGTTTTTAGCTTGGTTGATCAGGAAAGGAAATAGAATTAAGTAAATAGTAACTTAATAGATTGTGTAATTCTGAGTTGTTCGTCTTTTCTTAAGCAGAGATTACAAGAATGAAATTGTATGAAATGTGAGATCAATTTAACTAAAGAAAACCGGGTATATGCTCCCCACAGAGATCTTAATACAGACATAGAGAAACAACAGCTGATGAAAATATTACCTGAAGAGCTCATGCTGTTCTGATCCAGTATTTCCGCGTTTTGCTGCTCTGCAGCCTCGCTGAGGATAAATAAGTCTTGGTAGAAATCCCTCCCATTATGACGTGATCACGTGACTTACAGTAAACGCCGCAGCTTCTGCTAAAGAGCAATTTTTACTTTCACTTTCAGTTTTGCAGGCTCGGTGTGTCCATGCAGATTACTGGCTCAATCTGTAAAAACTGCTCACTCACTTTCAAAAGGATATTTGCAGACTTTTGATGAGTCACCTCAAAGGTTCTCTGAACTCACTTTGTTAAATTGGTTCTTATGGTCAATGTCCCAAATTAAATGAAAAAATAAATGGAAAACTAGTTTCTCAATCATGTATTTTAAAGTTGTTTCAGGGTAAAGCTGGATGCATGTTGATTGTTAGATGTTGTAGAAAATAAAGATGTTTTGATTACTTGTTTAGGGTGTTTATTTTCAAAACATTTTTTAAAATGCCTTTATGAATTAATTTGTCAAACATTTATTATAAGACATATTTTAAGCAGAAGGTGTTATAAAGTGCCTCCATCTACTCATTGTTCTTTTTTTGTGAGTCGTTTGCTCATTCAGTAATTGATCCGTCACCAGAACTATGCTATGTGACTTCCTTAGTACACAAGTCCTTGGTATTTTGACACATATTGAAGAAATATCATAGAATTTGGTAATCAAGGGAAAATAAATACCACAGATCAATGTAATATTTTAGTTAGTTGCAAGCAGAAAAGGATTGAAAACATCAGTTTCTGTGTAAGTCATTCTGTAACGTGTTTCACTTAAGGAATTGAGTGACTTAATTTTTCAAAACTACTCAAATTTATTGCGTGGCTCTAAATAAAAAGTTTCTTCTCAAGCATCTAACCCTGTGGTACTTCATGAGTAACTCTGGTAAGAGAGGGAAATATGTTACTGTTAAAAATGGAGTGCAAAACAGTAAGACAAAGATGATTTAAACCAGCGTGATAATGTTTAATGAATCCCTACAATCAGTTCAACGAATGAATGAATAAAAGAAAGAAAAAAGAGAGGAGGAAAGAAAAGGACAAGGAAATGAAAAAAAAGAAAGAAGATAAGAAGTGAAGAAGGAAAGAAGGAAAAAGAAAGGCTTGCAGTCAGAAAAAGGAGATTTCACAAGTCACATGATCAATCTAAGAGGGGAGAGGCTACTTATATGGAGGGATGGATGCTTCTGGTTTCATTTTGCACCACAGAACTAACTGTGGGATGTTTTGAGGACCAAAAACAGCTCATTCATTTATTGTTCACTTTCACTGTCTTCAGCCTGTAACTTTCTTTTGTGTTGAGTAAAACATTTTGCAGAGCTACACTGTTAAATCATCTTGGTAAGTAAAAACCTCATATCTGTGATTGAAGCAAATGTTTGAGAGAAGTTAAATGAAATGCTGAACATGACTGCATTACTGTTTGTCTTTGCAGAAGATCAACAATGGCATCTCAATGTAAGTAAATAAAATGGGTTTCTGAATTTTTTCAATTGCTTTTGAATAATTATAATTTATGTTTTCATGCAGTGCTGGAAAAACCCTGGAGGGAACTACGCTGGGGGTGAGTTCACTGTGAGACTTTTTAAACTGATAAATATGAATCTGTTTGTCTCTCATTCTGCTAAAATCTAAAAGCAAAGACAATACAGCAACAGAAAGTACAAGAAGAGATAAATTGCTGCTGATCAGTCAGGGGAGAGGAGACTGCTCAGAGTGGAAGATCCTGCAGGATTGTGATAAGAAGTTTTACCAAAGTAACAATAAATAAACACAAACTGAAGAGAGAAACTGGATCAGATCAAGAAGCTGAATCTGGAACAAAGATGTGTTCTGTGTAATAAATATTCATCATTGAGTGACAATTCAAGCAAGAAAATATAGACAATAATTTGATGGTAGTGAAGCAGTAACTAATAAAAGTGTTGTATAACTCTACAAAACTTGATCCTGAGCCATCTTTAAATGCCATAAAAGCGACCAGAGGTTATCAGAGAGTGGAGATAGCCTGTCAGTGTGATTAGTGTCAGAGTTCAGGCCGAAGCTTTCATTTTTATTAACACTGTTGTTAGAAACAGAACAAAATATTAAAAGCATATGAAAATAAGATTCTTTTTTAATAAACATAAGTACAAACCATGTTCAGTTGCATTTCTGAATAAAACGGCTCAGTGCAAACATAATCCCTCTGTACAATGACCTAAATAACTGAATGCACTTTTCTGAATCAACCATTTTATCCATGTATCCACTTTATGTTCTCAGAGAGAAGCAGGAGGACCTTCAGTATGTGAAGGAGTACAAACCTTTAATTGACGGCATCAAGCATCTTCGAGTCCTCATGTTTGGACACGTTGGAGCTGGAAAATCCAGTTTCATCAACTCAGTCAGTAACGTCCTCCGAGGCCGAATGTCCATTCCTGCTTTGGCCAGTGCGACCACCTCCGACAGAAGCTTCACCATAAAAGTAACGAGCTAAGATGTTTCTCTCCACAACAGGAGCATGACTGCATCACCTTGTAATATAACCTCAATTAAATCTTGATTTAATTCATTTTTAAATAGTAATTTAGCCTTCTGAGAATTCATCAGCTGTTTGCCATGAATTTTGACCACTGCTATGTGAATAATGAATATGGATTATCTTTTAGAAAGCTGATATCAAACAACTAGCCCTGATGCAGATTTGCTCTTTACTTTTTCCGTTTCCAGCAGGAATTGTGTTACATGTTTTTTCTCTGTGTTTCAGTATGAAACTCATAAAATCCAGATCGGACGAGGAACTTCAAAGACATTTTTTCCTCTGGTTTTCAACGACGTCATGGGTCTGGAGGACGGTAAAGACAGCGGGATCCAGGCTAGCGACATCAAGCTGGCAATGAGAGGACACGTACGGGAGGGTCACAAGGTGAAAGGACAAGTTCCCACTGCTGGGACCAGTTAGATACTGGTTAGAACAACTGGAGCAGCAGGGTTTCATTTCAAGTTGTTAACAGTAACAAAAATTTCAACAAACTACAGATGATCAGACCAGTTATTCTCAATGCTGGATTTTCAAGAAAGTCTGAGCAACAGCTTGTCAACCTTTATAGTAAAATTACTAGAAATTGCCACTGTTGCTCCTGCACAACAGTTATGTGAACTATAATGGAAACCTCTTTACCTGTTTTGATGACAAAGATGTTTATCACTAACCTTAACCCTAACCCTGAAAATCAGGGCATTTTGGGTAAATACAATTAAGAGCAACACACGAGACTAGCGCCTGTTGGGCAAAAGAGAACATGTTCTTTACAACATGTTTTTATGTTTACATGTTGTAAAGAAGGAAGGGTATTGATTTGAACGCTTCCTCCACAAAATCTCCAAATTAAGTCAGATGTCCCCTCTGCTTGATGAAGCAGTAGATCTGCTGAAAAACATGGCTGACAAAGGAGTCCTTCTGGTGTATTTCAGCTGATTCTCCTGCTTCTTGAACATTAGATTACGTAACAGGTGCTGCTCCCCTCTCAGATTTTGTGAGATTTACAAATATCTGAAGGACATTAATTAATCAGAAAATTTATATTTTTTGTCTTATTTTTAAAGATACTTACTGTTTCTCTTTTTTACAGTTTAACCCATTAGGCCCACTGACTAAAGAGGATTTTGGCTACAACCCAAACCCCTCACTTAATGACAAGGTTCATGTCCTGGTCTGTGTGATGTCTGCCAACGCGCCACAGATTAATGCTTCAGTTCTGGAGAAGATGAGGAAAGTCAGAGAAACAGCCAGTGAACTGGGTGAGTTTATAGAGAATCATATTATTTAGACAAACAACAGGAGGAAAATCCAAAGTGAGTTCCATCAAAGTCATTGTGAATTAATCAGAAGGCATCTTGATCACCACTACGGTTCATTTCTGCTTTGATAAATTGACTCTTGGTAAAGTCATATAAATGCAGAAAGACTTAGAAATACTTTAAAAGACCTGTTTTGGTTTTGATTATTTTTCCTTACTAGTCTGGCATGTTGACCCATGATGGATGGTTGTCTCCATGGATATCTCCATGGATGATGTTTCTATGACTCCCTCAGCATCTGTTTCTGTCTCTGCAGGAATTCCTCAGATGGCCATGATGACCCACATCGATGCTGCCTGTGGGGAAATAGAGAAAGACGTGAAGAATGTATACAGAAGCAAACACTTGCAAAAAAAGGTGAGTTTCAGACATTTGTCAGGAGATTTTGAACAACTAACTATAAGCTGTAACTGTAACAGTTTGTTTTTGCATTCAGATGAAAGACTTCAGTGCAGCAGTGGGAATCCCTATGAACTGCATCTTCCCTGTGAAGAACTACAGTGACGAAATTGACATAAAAAACGACGTTGACATCCTGATCTTGAGTGCCCTGAGGAAAATGATCGACTTCGGAGACGACTTCATTGAGAAAAATCTAAACTCATGTTAACAGTTTACATGTTCTGAAATTTCCAAAGCGGGTTTGTAGGGGATTAAAGTTGAGAAAAGAAGAATAAAAGGAAATGGCATGCTGAAAACTATCTCTTGAATAATTAACATTCAGAATAACTTGTGTTTACCTGAATGTGATGTTTGTTCTGCTTGATCATATCATGCAAAACATTAGTCAAAATATGAATAGTTTTGGAAGAACTTGTTCTACAAAAGTAAATTCTAATTACAATGGGAATGCTAGATTGCAACACACTGCACAGAGCTGCCTTGTTTAACAGAACATTTTATGGTTCTGTAAAACCATAAAATCATAAAATGGTTCTCAAACATCTGAGGATATTTGTGATAATCTGAGGATTGTTTGGCAGAAATACCTGTATTGTGATCAAATATATTTTAATGTGGTTTAGGTTTCTCATTTTCCTGTTTACTGTTGTCATTGTCCTAAATAAAAAAATGGAGAAAAAAGCAGATTCGAGTTGCCATCATTTCTACAAATTTGTATCTGGTAGAGAATAAAAAAGTAAATTTAAACAGGTTGATGGTTAAAAATAACTATTAGAGAACAAAACACATTTAAATTGGGATAAAAAACATTACTTTTGGTTTCAATAATATGTTGTAAAATATTCACATTTTCAGTTTTAATATATTTAACTAGTAAAGCCCCTGAGAATTAAAACTTCATATAGCTAAACACACTCACAAATATACCAGGTTTTGAAACAAGAGCTGTTTATGTTACAGAGTGTTAAAGCATTTTCTGATTTCTAATCTTATTCTACATTGTTTTGCACCAGTTTTGAAAACAAACCAGATTTTAGCTGTTTGAGTTCATCTACATTTAACACAAATTAACAGATTACTGCATCACATCATGCATCTGCTCAACACTGAACAGGTTCAAAGTCACCAAGTGACATTGTAATGTAGAGCTGTATTTTGATAACTATAAATCAAGCCAAGTTTTTAAACAGTTTTTTGCTTCTCAGAATATTTCTATTTACTTTTCAGGAGTTCATAGCAGATTAACTCCATCTACAGGACAAACACACAGCAGCTCTGTCAGAGCTGAAAGTGAAAGTAGCTGCTGCTGCTGCTGCTGCTGCATTGAAGCTGCTTGGTTTCCTATAAGTCACATGATCAGGGCTGGGTGGAGTTTCTTATATAAAGACTGAAGTCAGCAGGAAGCAAACGGCACAACTCAAGATCAGTGGAAGTGTGAGTTTTTAAGGTAAATCTGTGTTTCTACTCATATTTTACTTGTTTTTTGCTTTTCCATCTTGCAAACCTTGCTGTAGTCTCTTATTGCAGCATGTTTGCTTTTTGCTGTTTAGCTCAGCGCAGTTTTTAGTTTGAATCGGTTTAGTTTTTAGAACAGAATCAAAAAGGAAAGATTTCACTCTTCATCTGCAGTTGGAACTAAAGCATCACCGATCATCTGGTCCAAATGAACTCAATTTTACTTGTTGCACACACATTGAAATAGTTTCTCCTTGGTAGGATCTCCTGTTTCATTAGTTGATTATAAAATGTCAGCTGATAATAAAAACAGTAATGCTTTATGAAGTAAGATTTGACAGGTACAGCTGATCTTTTTTTTATCCACATGAACAACCAATCATTTGTCTCCTTAGGTATCATCACCTCTATTGAAGCCGATGAGCAGAAGGTGGAAAATATGTCAAACGCTAAGAAATCAGCACCCAGACAGGTATGTCACTTTTCGTATATTCATGTGATCAGAATGACATGAGGACCAAGTCACATTGTTTTTGCAGTTTTCAATTCAGAGGTAAAACATGAAGCTTGTTTCATAGTCCAGTCTGCTGATTTGAAGGATAGTGTGTGTTGCACAGTGTGTAAATGAAGGTTAGCTTAACTTGGTAGTGATCAAAGTCATTTCTTAGTTTCAGCAGGAGTACATTAACATTTTACAAATGGGAAGCTTTTTGTGAGTCTAACTTTTGGTATGTTCAAAATATTACTCTAATCATAAAAGCAACAAGAACATTTGAGAAGAACCTTCATGAACAAAAAATCTGATGTCTGAAAATGATGTAGAGTTCTTTTTTAGATAAAATGTAATCCATAAACAGCATACAAAGTTTAAATATGTCTGAGTTTTTAGAGATTTTTGCTAGTCTAAGGTGACAGGCTACAATAGCCTTACCCCCATATAGGTGATGTGTGACTGTCACAATTTTCCTTATTGCCTATCAGAATTTCCCAAATTTCCACAAGAACACGACTAATCATTTCATCCAGGTCAACAGTAGAATCCAGAACAGTGTCCAACACACTGTAGTTCTATCTTGACTCAATCAAGCTTAACGTTCATAATAAAATAATAAATAATTTTTGCATCAGTTTACTATCAGTTAATCTGTTTTATCCGAGACATTTGAATCTGGCTGAACGTGAAAGCAGAAATTTCGAAGGGAAGAAAATTGTTTTTAAGCTTTGTACGTTCTTGACACATTATCACCTCAGATTCCTGAAAGTTAGCAGTTTCAGTCTTCATGTAGGTTTTGTTAACACAAACTGTCTCTTTTTTTCAGACTCTGGAAGGCTCAGTGATTTGTCGCCATTGTTCCCACGAGTTTTGTTCTGTTGTCAGTTTTAATGTGAAAGACGAGTTGGAGTTCCAGTTGGAATTATTTAAAAACAGAAAAGACCAGTCATCCTTTGTCAATCTGAGATTTATCCATACAGAACAGGTGGGGGAAAATTCCAGTGTTTTGATAGATTTGTTCTATTTCTGAATGTATATTAGTAAATCTTTTTATATGTTTGTCACATGATTTTATTGATCTAGAATAATGTCTGTGCACGGTTGTTTTAATAATAGTCACTCATTGAAACACTAAACTGTCCCAAAGCCTCAGGCTCAGTTGTTGAAATTAAAATATATTAGTTATGACTTTTAAGATAGCCAAGAATAGCTATGCGGTCAATTAATCACATAACGGTTGCTATTTATTTTGCTTTGCTATCTTGACCGTGTGGTTTACACTTTTTGATTACAATATTTTTGTGCAGCAAACTTGAAGGGTGACTTTGAATAATTGTATTATTATTATTATTATTATTATTATTATTATTATTATTATTATTATTATTATTGCTGTTGTTGTTATAGAGGAAATGTGTAGAATGTATTTTGTATTTTAACTAAATGTTTCTGTTTTTGGCAGGATTATCTAGAAGAAAGGTCCAGTGTGAAATGTCCAGCTTGTAAAAAGAAGTTTGAGCTGTCCATTTGCTTTAATGTGACTATTGATGAGAGTCAATTTAAATTTAATCTGTCCATTACAACCTGTGAGGTGAGTGAAGAAAACTATTTCAGTCAGAATTATTTAAAGGTCAAAGGTTGATCTGTATTTTTGAAGCTGTTCTTTAAATGGACACAAAATTTTCTGCTTCTGACTCATAGAAAATCTATGATGATTTTCCAACATATCAGCAAGATCACTAGGGCAGATCCATGTCTGAACCAGAGCTATGTTCTATTAACTGGTTTCATAACCAGAAACAAACAAAAAAACGGGTTTACTGGTTCTGGATAGAAACCCAGCAAAGAACCAAATTTAGTTTTCAACAGCCAAAGAGCCACTTGACATATTTTGTCAGTAAAACTGTCTGTTCCAGAATATGTTTGATCCTTGGATACTTTTAATATACTGAAAGTATTCAAAAGTACTTGTACCCACTGAACATTTTATCCCATCATAACTACAAAATGGAATATTTATGAGGAAATCTTCTAAAGTTTTCCCCAAAATATAGTAGCAGATAAATGTAAAGTGATGTGAAAGGATACACGGTTTTAATTTAAAATTTCTAGAGTGAAACAAGATAAATAAAATTGCTCTCTTCAATCGCACATCGAAAATAAAATACAATGCCACCAACTGTCTTCAAAAATCACCTAAAGAGTCCATAAAGTCAATTTTCCTGCCATTTAGTCTCTCAGGTTTGTTAGAGAATATTAGTTATTCACTAACATCATCATAAGGTTCAAAGATCACAGCACAAAGATCAGGGAGAAAGATGTGGAGAAACCTAAAGCAGAAATAGAGTATACAATAATTTTTCTAATTTTGAACATGTCAAATATAAATGTTTTGTCAATGTTAGGAAATGTAAAGAATAACACACGGCGGTAACAATATTAAGACAATGCTGTTCCTTGCCTTCCTGGGCTAAGAGAAGCAGTCATGTGGTTCATGTAACAAGCGAGTGAAGACATTGATGCAGGTGATTTTTGGGGGATAATTGCAGAACTTCATTTGTAGCAAAAAAATAAAATAAAAGGGCTTAACACAAATCTGTTTGTTAAACATGGTGGCAGAAACATGCTGTGGGAATTGTTTTCTTCAGCAGAGGCAAAGATTGTTGTCAGAGTTGACAAGAAGCTGAATGGAGTGAAATACAGAACATATCTGGAAAATATAGGCTGCAAAAGACCTGGAACTGGACTGGAGGTTCACATGAACAACCAGTTTATACATGTAACCAGACCTACAATACAATTATATCAAAATGACAACCTAGTCAAAGTCCAGACCAAATTTTGCAAATTAATCTAAAGCAAGCTTTAAAACATAATAAAGAAAATGGTGCAAAAACTAAACTCAGCCTTCAATTAAGAAGATTCAAGTTAAAGCAACTTGGAAAGTTTGAAAAATACCTACAAGCCTTCTGATGGACAACTACCAGTAAATGATTGCACTTTGTGTTTACAAATCTGTGTTCATTTTGTGTGCAGGCTGACGAGAAGAAAAATGAAAAAAACCCAAAAGGTTTGTGAAGTTAATTACTTCTGATTGATTTGAAATACTGATGAAATGGTTGACAGAAATCACAAGTCAATACATATTGCTGCATAATGTGCATATTAGACAGTTCCATTTTATATTTAGAAAATCTCAAAGTACTAAATAAGATTAAAAATGACCATAAAAGCAATTCTAGAAAAATGTATATGACAAATGTGAAGTAAACAATGCCAAGTTGACAAACTTTTTAATTCTGTATGCAAAAAAAAAAGGAAAATTATGGTTTTGTATTTGTATTTCAGTACCACTGCTCTATCCTGAAACCAAATCAACCAGATGTCATTGATCCTTTTTTCCCTCCTCTGTTGCTATAAAGTAAACTGCAAGGGAGAACTGTTGCTAACTTTGATTCTATACATTTCACATATATTTTAAGCATTTGGACCTGGTTAAAAAGATCTGTAATCTTTAAATAAATGCCTACGCAAAAGGCTGGAGGAAAAAGTATGATATAAATTTTTGTACCATTACACATATAGGTTTAAAATCAAAATTATATGTTTCTGTTGTACAAACACCGAGGCCACATATAGTTGTAGTATTTATTTGAGTCCTGGTCTAATAGACAAATAATAGCAAGAGTTGTGATTAGAGCCTGTATGTGAGGATTTAAACACACCATAATTTTTGTCAGCACCCATGCTAATGGGTGTATAAATGTTTTGGTACAGGAAAAGAAATATTCACTAATCACAAGGTCGCTGCAGCTCTAAAGGGAGGGGAAACAACTCATCACATAGCTACAGAGTCAAATGTTATTCACTAACTAACACACAATCATTCTGTACTAGATAATCTCCTTCCAGGCACAAAGATTAATAAAATATGTAGTGATCTTAGCAATGATGGTTTTATTGGAGGCCAGCAACTCAACCGAAGCAGAGCTCTCACCAAGAGGTAAACCTGGAGGAAGATTGTTGTCTCTGCTCTCTGTCAGTGAGGCCTTCTGAGAAAGGAATCAGAGTAAATCAACAATACAAGAAACATTCTTAACTCTATAATGAGATTAACTTAAAGGAAAACATAAAATAAAGATACATTATAAAGATCAATGAGAATAACAAATAATTGATTAATAATATCACAATTTCTCCAACATGGAGCATTTACAACCTTTCGACTGTCAAACAACTATTTTTCCCCACAGCTGTCACTTCAGAAAAACGGCACACCCTCCCTGTACAACGCAGAGTGAAGGTTTTCTATAAGTGCTCTGGTGAGATATTTCATAGTGATGAACAAATAAAGGAACAATTGATGACGGACAAATGGCAGACACTTCATATCCAGGAGACAAGCCTGAAAGATTCTGACATCGTCATTGTCTTCTGTCCAATCACATCCCGTGTTGGATCAGATGTAGAGTCATCCATGACAGACAAAACAGGTAATGGAAACTTTGCCTGTCAGACAGGAATTTCAACTAAATGTTTGAGTTTGACATTTTTCACTTTGTTTCCCAGCTTGTATGGATGAATGTTTGCCTGATAGAGATAATAGACTCACTGATTGTTACATATTTTTTAACTGTTAAAATAAGAGATATTCTAAATAACACAGCGACATTTAGAAACTTCTTCTTAGAAACCTCCTTATTTAAGAACTAGTTGTTCAGTTCTGTTTCAAGGGTCACTGTCTGAAGCAGAGAAGTTTAGGTAATTTGGTGTCTTGTGTATAAGTGATTGTAAGGTTGAATAAGACAGATTGGATATTTTTTGTGTGTGTAGTGAAAAAAAAGTTGAGCCAACAACTTTCTTAAATTGAGTGGGAGGGTATCACCATGGAGAATTTTTAAAATTCAATATATCAAAAGTCAGAAAAATGAGACATTTCTAGAATTACAACATCTTTCTTTGTGAGAAAATTTTAATAATTTTAATTGTGTACCTTAATAATTAAACTGGAGAAAAAAGTGATTCATAAAATGTGATCTAATCACATCTGTCTTCTGTTTCAGTGTCATCAGTGAAGAAACCAATCATCTTGGTTCTGATGCATCACACCAGAGACTCGGATTATTCAACTGCAGGAACAATCTGGTCTGAAGTTTATCCAAATGTTGTACTTGATGTTCATGTTCTGTTCCATGAGACGAAACCAGGACTATTGAGATGTAGACAAAATGAGGAGGCTTTCGAGATGATTAAAAAAGAGCTAAATAAATATTCAAAATCAGCCTTTGGAATGTTACCAAACTAACAGACTCGTTGAGACTGTTACAGGAAAGAGGAAATATCCAGTGAGCTGAAATCATCTGGGGAGAAATGCTGAGTAAATGTCAGAAGGAGAATGAATAGACATGTTCAAGATGATAGAAATTAAGCAGTAGTGCTATAAACACTTATTAAAAACCAAATATGTCTAACATCCCATTTCTGAACATGTAACATGTTGAATCATAAAACAAATGGATTATAGTGACAGAAGAGGAAACTCCTCCCAGCCCAGAACAGGAAGAACCAACAGAACATTGTTTATACACCACATCCTGCCCAAGTATGATTCCTGACCATGTCCATCCTTTTATGATCACAGTTTACCCAGACTCTGATGGCTACTTCCACAAGTGTAACGGCATTACGCTACAAATTTAAAATAATTGTAATCGCACAACTGACACTTACAAATGACCAGTTCACTCAGCTCCAAAGATCTGAGTCCTTTGGGATGTAGTTCAGTGGGAGACTCATGTCATTGTAAGGCTGAAATGATTATTCGGATTAATAAAAATGGATCAACAATTGTTCTGTATGCTTAATGAATTAATTTAATAATTGACTAGCTGGGGTATGGAGTATAGATACTCTAAAAAAGGTGTTTTGCTGAAAGAACCTCACCCTCAACTGTAATTCAGCCAAAACTGTACAAAAATCTAAACATTTACATTAAAGTTTAAAATAAATAAAAAATACTTTATCTGTGCACACATTCCACCCAGAACTCCTCAAGTTGCAGCTTTAGCTTAATTGGCTCCAAATCTGCCAAAAAAAAAAAAAAAAAAAACTATTAAAAATCTTTTGCTATCCAGTTATTAACCATATAAATTATTTTATTTCAAACAGGAATTGAATTGTTCATTTGCATCTTTTGATATATTTTTGATTTTGCATAATAAATAAATGAAAAATTAGCTTTTGTAATTTAACAAAGAAGCTGCAGTAAGTCAGCTGTGAATGAATCAGCTACAGTGAACTCACCACCAGCATATTCACCTTCATGGTTCATCCAGAGCTGCAGAGGCATGAATTATTTTGCAAACATTACTCATTTCCAGACATATTTTATTTTACTATTTTACAGACATATTTTATGTCTGTAAAAACAAACATAAAATATGTCAATAATTTTATTAAAACAGCTCCTGAAACACAGTGAGTGTTTAAGAAGCCAGAAACAAGTTAAAATATGACAGTGTTACGTTTATTAGCTGTTTAGTTTAATTTTATCCAAATCAATGAGAAAACATTTGACAAGTCCTCTTTTTATGCTGGACTTTAGCTGGTGGTGGAACAGGGTGAAGGGCTCTTCATGTTCCTAAACATATAAAATGAGATAAACGGAGTAATGGGTGGCAAAACAATCTGTTATTCAAATTAGAGATATCTAGAACACATAACATACTCTGAGGTCAGAGTTCAAAGTGATATCATATTTGCACCATATAGAGGATAAAGTTCTCAGCATTTTAACCAATGAAAGCAGTCAGTTAAGCAGCATATTTATGTTTTCCTTTATTGCCACAAAATATGCCTGAAATGTGTTTTTGAAAATAAAAAAATGTACACAGCCATTTTTCTGTGGTGCTTACTGACTTTTCTTTGATGTGAAACTGCAATCATCCATCTCTCACTTTAAATATTAACCTTCTTTATGAGGCTGGAATCTGATAAACCACTTTTTATAATCATTTACTTTCACTTTCTGATCAGCCAGGACATTCTGTTCTGCCCTCTAATCCAACCAAAAAGCATCGTCACTCTGGGAGATTAAAACTGAAAACGGCATTTATTTAACCAGCATGTTTGTCTCAAATAGGGAAAGTGAGAGGTTGAAAAGATTAGACATTTTTAATTTATTTGTTTTCATTTATACTTCATGAAATTAAAACGTGCATGCAATAGTTCTTTTCATTAGGGATTTTTTTTTTTAAGGGAAGGACAATTTATTTGTATAGCAGATTTTGTGTGCATGGCAATATGAAGCGCTTTACAGGCAAGAAGCAGCCATTACAAACACAGGCAGAAATGAGACAAGACAAAATAAATGACATAGAAGGGAGAAAAATGATCGGCTAAAGTAGAAAAGAAAAAAGAAGAAAATGTCAGATGTATTGATTTTTGTTGATGGCACTCAGCAAACTGTATTGTTTGCAATATGCAGTGATTCTTATGAAGTTAGAGTGAACCCCACCACCCTGAAAGCCTGAAAGTGAAAGTAAATTGTGAGAAGCTGCTGCTTCACAGCAGCTGCTGAGTTTATTGTAAGTCACATGGTTATGGGCTGAGCTGAGGTCTGAATATAAAGACTGAGACGCTGCAGAAAAGCAAAACATGGATCCGGCACAATCAAAGAACATCGTGAGCGCTTCAGGTATTCTTCTCTTGCTTATAGGGAGTGTCAGAAGCTTCCTGTTTTCTGTATATTTTCTGTATTCATGTTTATAAAGTACTTGTGAGAACCATAAACAGGATATGATAAACTTAAGTTACTTTCAGTCTTTGTTTTGTAACTTACAGTATGTCTATTTCCTGCTGATTTTCATCTGCAGTCCATGTCACAGGAACAAACCCTTTCCTGTTTGTCATGACTAAACATTAAATATATTTATGTTAAACAGGAAAATGTCATTATTTAACAACACAACAGAATTTATAAAATATAGTTTTCTTACAGCTATAATAGCAGATATTATTTATGGTCTCCTATGTTTGCAAGTTTTATATTTCTACAGAAAAGTATAGTTTCGTTACTTTATGTTAAAATGTCACAAAGCTTAAACCATAACTTTAATTTTGATTGAACAATAAATAACGGTCACAATTTGTTTTCTATTGAGAATGTTGTTTTGAAGTTTGTACTAAGGAAGAAAAAAATAGAAGAAAAACCTTTTTTATGTGACTTAAAAGGACAATATTAGTTATTTTTCAACAGATTTCAGTTCTTCTGCATGTTCATTTTGGTTAGATTTTCCTCTGTTGTTCATGTTGTATACTATTTAAGTTTTCTCCTATTTTTACTTCACTAATTCCACCGTCTCTCAGTTCGGTGTTCAGATGCTCTCCAGCTGTTCTGCACCTGTTTTATTATGCTTTCAGTTATTAAGTTCATAATTTCTCACTCCACAATATCGTCTAGCTTTTCTTTGGGTCGCCATCCAATCCCCTCAAGCATGAAGCCCAAGTTAAACAGAGTGCTTGAGGCATGCATCCTGCACAACCCCACTCAAAACTGACTAAAGTTTGATTTGAGCGTTCCAGTTAGTTCTTAAATCACTCCTCTGAGTTTTGAGCATCTGATATAGATCTATCAATCCATAATCTAAAAATATAGATTACAGCTCAGCTGTAATAGTTGTCCACCTAAACTGAAGGGCTGGGTAATAAGGGAATCAGAGAAACAGTCAAAGAGCCCAGGGTAACTCTGAAGGAGCTGCAGAGAGCCACAGCTCAGGTGGAAGAATTTGTGGCCCACGAAATGTGTAACTTCTACACTCCACAAATCTGATCAAGCATGTTGAAATATATACCTGTACATAAAATACCTGCACTGAACCATAGGTTAAGTTTCTCTCAAATTTATTATTTTGTATAAAATAGTTTTAGTTTTGAAAAATAACAATAAAAAATATTTTTCATGTGTTACTATAATATAGCAAGATAGTAAATAGTAATTTGAAAAGTACAATTGGATAAATGACAAGTTGTTTTTTTCACAGGGGAAGTATTTTATTAAGAAAGGAACCCAGTGGTTTCAAGTCATTGGCTCCAGCAGAATCTTGAGTCTCTAATTAATATTAAACATTTAACCTAATTTGAAGCAAACTTATTTTAAATTAAATACCTAATTTAAAATAGCAGCGTATTAAAAAGATCTTTACTTCTTTATTTAGATTGAAAAAACAATGGTAGAATGCATTTATTGTCCAAATTTCAGATACATTCTCATATTGTAGACATCAAAATACAAGTACAATTAATCTTAACTAGTTTTATTTCATGAATTACATTAAGTTACTTATATGTGAAGAAACATTTGCCAAATTTTGGTATTAGAGTGAAGTCTTACACAAAAATATTTCAGTCGCTTCATTACATTCTTTTGTACATTGTCTTGTGTAGCTTTTAAATTTCTTAGTATCACATTCTTCATCTGTCTCTAAATGTGTTTGTTCATCTCAGACTTTATCAGACACTTCCTATTTCTATTGGAAATGTTCTAACAGCTTTGTTACACTCTCTTCTGGGTTACGATGAACGATGTCCCTGGAAAATTTCTAGAGCCTCCAGGGTCTAGAAATTGTGACGGTGAGAAAGAGGAGCCATCCCTAAATGACAGCAGTGCCACAGAAGGAGAAAAAGAAAATGCAGGAAAGCCAGCTGACATAAAACATGAGAAAAATGGTGAAAACATAGTGGACGGATTTGTATGTGAGTATGTGGATTTCTTCTTGCTCCCCTTCCATTCTTGAAGTTAGAACTGATATTCTTTTCAATTTTCAGTTCAAAATGATTAGCTCCCCTATAAAATTGTTTTAAAAAATACCCCAAGGTGCTGTTACACAGATCAATCATGTTTCAATACAGCTTTTCCAAACATCTTAGTTTAATTTTGAATGTTCACACTAATTTGCTTTGCATACAGAAAACAAATTATTTCACAAAATCTACTGGCATGAATGTTTTGCTTACTTGCAGCAAAGATAACAGGGTGACACAGAAATCTGGCATTGAGTTATAACTTCTAACTTTCTCAAGCAAATGTCTCTGGCTTCACAGTATACTGCGAATGTGGAATAATCTACAAAATAAAAAACACATGCTTTGTCCTCTCACTCTGCTTCAGTCATTGATGAGGAGACTGGTGCAGTAGAAGAACATACAACAGACTCGCCAAGTCCTCCATTTTCATCAGTAAGATATACTCATGTTCTTCTTTCTGATAATAAGTTGATGTCTTCCAAGCAACATGGATATTTCAGCAAGAAGGTTTAGAAACTGGGTTTTGTTCTCAAATCAACTGATATTATAAAAATCAATTAATTCTGGATATCTCAACCTTGATTTAAGCACATATATGTGTGCTAAGAACAGTCCTTAATTTTAAAGTTCAGATTTGAAGGTATCACAATGAAGACTTTGTCAGTAATTTGTTGCAATTTAAATCCAAAACTGAACACTTTTTAACACAAAAGTTACATTGCTTCATACAGTTTTAATATTTCTATTTTTACAAGATTCTTTTTTTATAAGTAATTTGTTTTAATATTTGTTATGTCTGACTTAAAACTTTGTAGTCAATACTTCTGGCTGACCCTATCGTAGCCATTTTTTCCCAAAAAGATTTTTTTCACTAGACTCATCTCGTTTGGACCAATTATCTTATTTCTGCATGTGTTTTCCATTCTTAAACTTCTATTCATATCCAACCATAAGTTTTAAATCTTCAGGTTTATATGTGTCAGTGTTTTCTCATCCTGAGATCTGAGTTCCAACTTCTGAGACAAATTGATTACAATATTAAGCTAAAACAAAAGTCAAGTCCAGGTATGAGGCAGCATCAAGGGTCTCTGTGTGGAAACAGAAACAGCCGTGAAGAACTGTTGGTTTGTTACATTCATATTTTCAGCTATTTCTGTGGTTAGTGGTGCTTCTGGTCAGTTGTTGGTTTCATCTTTGCTTATGCTGTACTCTGCCTGCTGTCCTGCAGGTTACCAGCTTATGATGGAAATGGAGGTTCTTTTATTGATATTGACTACCAGACTTTTAGCACTGTGCAGTAAAAATTGTTCTAATTTTTTACCCAAATGTTCTTTTTTGACATTTGGACAAATGTTACAAGAAAACCATTTGCACATTGGACACTTAATATGCCCCGTTCAGATAAATTGGCTGCACAGAGTCACTCAAGCTCAGTAAATTAATAAAAAATGAAAAACTTTCACCCTGCAACAATACTAACATCCAAACTGTGAGGATTCTAATCATTGCTACTCAGTTTGTGTGAAACTGATGTGAGAATAAAACAGTGCTGAATGTTTATGCTTTTAGAGTACTTGCCTTTGAAAAACTTCAAGCTGGCAGATTGTAAAGTTGTATTTGTTTCTGTTTGTGTGCAATTTTTTTTCTGTGTGCAGGTACAGGCTCAAAATGAAGCACAACTGGCAAGTTCTTCCTGGGGTTTGTACATTTACTTGTACTGAAACAATGTTTCATCTTTAACTTACAAATAGGCTGAATCACTGATTACGTCTGAGGAAAATTAAAAACCATTCTGAAGATAATTGACCTGTTGTAAAGGAATATTTTTAACAATCTCTACATCTAACATGATTCTTTTTATACATGTTTCTAAATACCTTGTTGGTAGAAATGAATCAATTCTAGTATAGTCTGCTTGTAAAAGAAATAATGTTGAAATGAACATACACTACACTGAAAATCTGCAATAGCCTGCATGCACAAATGGAAACACAATTGAATTATTCAGAACATTTTCTTGAAGCATTTGTACGTCTAAAATCTCTCACTACTTACAGTGAATCTGATGAACCAGAAACAATGTTCCGTTTAAGATTGTCTTGACATTTGCATTTTTGTACAAATGACCACAATTTGTAGAGGTTAAAAGATCAACACCGACTCATTGTGGAAAGTTGTCAGTAGAAGGGTACAAGAATTTTTCAGTTCCTTGTTGCTTTCTGTTCAATTTTACATTAAGCTTGCCATTATCCAAAGTTGCATTCATCATACACTCAAATTATTTCCATTGCTTAATTTCTAACATCACAAAAAACTTTGGCAGCAAACTGAATAGAAAAATGCTGTGGGAAGGGAAATGCATAACTCAGATCAAAGATTTGATTTTTCTTTCAGTATTTCAGTAAAGTCTTGTTGCTGCTACTTTTGTTATAAAGCTCTTTCCACTTTAAAATGAAGGGCCAAAGACTGTGAAGCACATCCAGAATCTTTCATTTTTCTAAGTGTCAGAACAATTTGAGAAACATCAGAAGTGTTTTAATTTGGGCAAATTTGGATTTTGGATGGCTGCATATGAGTGGTTCTTTTTTTTTTATCCAACTTATCTCATATAAGTTGGAGATTACATTTAAGACATTTCATTGTCTGTTTTTGCTTGTAAATATGAATCTTAACCTTTTCTATTTTTTTCTCAAATTGATATATATATTTAAAGGTGGATTGTGGCCCACAGTAAACATCTTCCGATTCACCAATGGGCAGACTTTTGGTGCTGATGAAGCAATAATGAAAAAAGTGAAGGATAACAAAAACTTCTGTCTAACCTACTTGCAAAGCTATCTGCCAATCTCCTTGTTAACCTACTGGCTGGCTCCTACAATTGAGGAAAAACAAAGTCCAGAGGAATCTTCGGTCATCATTGTCTTTTGTCCAATCACCTCACGCGTTGGTTCAGATGTGGAATCAGTAATGACAAATCCACAAGGTAATGGAAATCTTTGTTTGTGTTGTGTCACTACAGGAATTATGGTCATCCTAAAAACTATTTAACAGATCAAATATTTTACAAGCAAATATGTCCGGCTATGTTATTTCTCAAATTGATATAGATATTTAATTCTCAAAGCCATTTCCTAATCCATGAAAATGTTGTGGATTCTTATCTTGTAAACAGAAACATAAGATTTACTAAGAATTTGCACTTTAAAACAGGATACAGGTGTTTCCCCCTCCTAACTTATCAACTAAGGGAATTTTAGTTGCTTTACACAGACTCATTTATTAAGAATTACAATAATAATCAGAAATACAACTATGCATAAAAATATCAGCCTTGAATCAATAACCAGTGAGACATGATAGTACAGGCATCATGTCTCAGGTGACAAATGTGGGTCAGCAATTTAACACCAATGAAAACCAATCCTTAGAAACAGCGGATATGCAAATTATTATTGCTCAGTGTTTTAAGGTACACAGCAAATGTTGCTAGTTTGGAAGTGAAAATGCTGACAATATATCTTTGAAAAGCTACATTCTCCCTTCTCTTCACTTTCTGTAGACTGAAGAAGTTTGATGCATGTTTTGAGTTGGAATAGATTAGAATAGAGTTACATTTGGGTATGAAAAATTCAGCTACCATAAAGATATTTAGATTTACTCACTACGTTTGAACACACTGCTATAATTTTGAACACATTTTGAAAATGCTGTTGTCTCCTTATAATTCGTAACATCAGAACTTCACCAGTTAATGGAAAACTTTTCAGATGTTTTCTATTGTTGGTGCTGTCTGTCATTAGAACTCTATGATTAAACTGAGTAGAGAAATTATTGACCTCATGTGTGCAAAGATTTAACAACAATCATCCCAACTCTACTTTTTTCCATGTGTTTCAGTCTCATTGCTGGATAAACCAGTGATTCTGGTTCTAATCACATCTGTCTACTGTTTCAGTGGCATCAGTGAAGAAACCGATCATCTTGGTTCTGATGCATCACACCAGAGATCCTGACTATTCAACTGCCGGAACAAAATGGTCTGAAGTGTATAAAAATGTTGTGCTTGATGTTCATGTTTTCTTCCATGAGACAGAACCAGGATTACTGACTTGTCAACAAAACGATCAGGCAATCGAAGCCATTGAGAAAAAGTTATATGTCTACATTACTTGGCCTTTTGTCTCCACTTTCTTGAAATGGTTAAATCATAACCCAACACAGGATGTTCCCTGCAGAAAAGAGACAAATGTGTGATTCTGCCCCAAACTGGTCATTTTCCAGTTGCTTTGAGTTGTTTTGCAGTCTCATGTCACTCTGCCTGTTAATATGAAATCATAATAAAGCATGTATGTGTCTAATAAACTGGCCAGTGAATAATAACATAATATAATGAAGAATTAAAGCTACAGAGTCAGCTTATAAAATCATTATACGAGGGAAAAATGTTAATAGGACTCCACAGATCCGACTATTTGATCGATCAGATCATAAATCCGTATGAAGACTCAATTTCCCAGAGTTCTCTGCGGCTCAGCGCTCCAGGCTGGACCTGTGGGAGCTGGCAGTGTTGTGTTCAGCATCCTGATGGAGAGACGCTGACCGGAGCTCCGAGCTTCATCAGTCTTATCCGCTCACTGTGTCCGAACCGAACCCCGATTCCCAGCAGGTCCGGCGGGGCTCCGTCCACTTCTCTCTTCCTGTCTTTGTTGTTGCGGACTGTGCGGGGATGGAGGTTGCGGAGTGCGGGGTGTGCGGGGTGAAGGTGATGTGCCGCTTCAGGCCGCTGAGCGACTCGGAGCGGAGCCGCGGAGACAAATTCATCCCCAAATTCAACGGAGAGGACACGGTGGTGCTGGCGGTGAGTCCTGACCCAACCGAACCGAACCGAGCCGAGCCGAGCCGAGCCGAACCCGTTTACCTCACAGACACGCCCTCCTGCTGTGTCTGCGCGTGCATGTGTCCGTGCTGCAACAATAGAAACACAAACAGAAAAAATAAAATAAACAATGTTTAACAGATGCTGCTGGTAGTTTGTTTAATATGTGGCTGAATGCTTGATTGAAACCAAATCTTAATTGATAATTTGATTCTTTTAGAAAGGAGAAGCGGCTGAACTGACATTTTTGCCAACTCATTCATTTCCTTTACCAATAATCATAACATTCAGTTAAAGTTCTGATTAACATGTCTGAACACATGAAAGAAGAAAACAACATACTGGAGTGCATCCCTTCAAGGACAGCTGGAAAATAAAAAAACACTACTATTTTTATATGAAATAAGCTGCAGTCATTTTCAATCTGCTGCTTTCAGCTGAAACATCCAGGACTAATTTGACCTGAGAGTTCAGGAGGGACTTCTGCTTTAATGAATGGCTGACCCAGTTCTGAAAGTTTCAGGGACAGAAAATAATGAGACAGATATGAAGCAGTTTGTTATTATTGAGTCTCTCTCTATAGAGAGTTTGTTTGCAGATGGAATTTTTTTTATTCAGCTTGTTTGGAAAGTTTTGCAGAAAAATAAAAACAAAGTCTGTGGACTGGGAAGCTAAGATCTGCTGTTACAACAGAAGGAAACTTTGTCTCCTCCACTAATCAGATTTAGGCCTGGACCTTCAAACAACTGCATGAAGCTAAAATACAATTAGCAGCTTATGGAGAATATTCATAAATCTCAACATGGATTGAATCTTTGGAATAGCCAGTTAGAGTGAATGCTTGATATGCAAATAAGTCAGTTTCCTCCAAAAACATATTGATTTCTGGTTTCATTCTGACAAAAAATGGGGGATGGAGACTCTGAAAGACCTCATGGGAAATAACCTGTTACCATGACAGCAGGTGGGGGCTGACAGTGGTCATGTGACCAGCAGCAACAGATCAAGAAAAAAAAAAAAATTGCTAAGAGATTCAGATCCACGGAGTGAAGACAACTAAACAGACGCTGAACTCACTGTGAGGTTGGCTGTGTGTGTGTGAGAGAAAAAGAGTGTGTGCATATTTATCTGTGTGTGTCTGGCATCGTTCAGCAGCAATCATTTTTCTTCCGTCTCATTGGTCCAGTCGTCTCAGCCGTCTCCCTGGGGATGCAGAAACGCAGTCACCATGACGACAGGCATCTTATTGAAACAGACAGACCTGCAGCAAGAAACCGACTCAGGATCATTAAATGTAATGGATGGATTGATGCTTTGGCGCACTGAAGCCGACTTTATTGACAGTTTGTGTCACAATCAAATAATAAGTTCGAAATCATCAGTTTATCTTTTATTTTTAGATATTTGCATCTGAATTTACAGGAACTGAAAACTGAATGATTAAACTGTACCAACAGAAAGATGCTAGTTTTAAATGGAAAAATCTAATCCAAGTAAACTGATTTAGAGTAGCTTACTGATCAGTTTATAAGGGGAAAGAAGGAGATTTTTAACAATTTGTTTTTTTCTGATGACTAAAGACACTCTAAGCTTTATTTTACAAAAGAGTAGAAAAGGGAATCATAAACTCCATATTGATATTAGGTTGAAATTGATCAACTAGTTACTTGCTTTTATAGAGTTATTCTATTTTACTCTTTCTTTTGCTTTGCTTTCTTTTCTTTTGTTGCACAACTTATCTGAGTTGTGCAGCATAAAACTATCTATTTTAAAGGAGATATAATGTTTAAAATGTTGTTTTCTCCCTGTCAAAGGTCAAAGGGCATCATAGGAAGGAAGCATTAAGGTTCGTCTCCTACATTTCTACATATCAATCTGGGCCTTTAACATGAACTTTAGATGCCCTGCCAAAGAACAAATCACTAAACTTCAGCTGTGGGTAGTTTTATCAAATGATCAGATGTTATCCGAGTTTGTGAGGCTTAGACTGGATAGTCAAGTCTGCATAGCTCTGTTCTGATAAGCTGCTTCTGTTTCTGTTGTTTTTGTGATGCCATCTTCATTTGCGTTTGCTGTACTTTAAATGGTTCATCTTTGTTAAAGAGACATGTTCTTCCTCTGCATCACTACATCAGGTGAAATTGACCTGCTTGATCTAAAGACAGGAAGAAGAGACTCACTGCTGGTTCTCTTCCATTAACATAACTTACTTTGCTTTTATTTAATGCGAGGCTGTTCGCCGTCAGCGTTCTTCTTCTGTGCTTGTCGGTTCACACAGAAGTCTGACTGTAATGGCATTTAATTAGCAATATGAACAACCAACCAAAAAACTGGAATTGATCATCAAAACCTGCTGTGTCAATGTAGCCATAGTTTCCTGATTGTGGTATAAATGACATTATGTGCCTAGGAAGTCTGCAATACACCCTCTTTAAAAACAGGATCTGGTACCTCACTGCTCTGCGGTCCTGTCGAGTCTTGGCCTTACATTCAACAGCCAGATGGTCCAACCGTCTGTCTTTCATGGCTTCCCTCTGCCCTGTGTTGTAAAGTCAGCTGACCCTTCAAATTTTAACAGTTTTCATGCTGCCATATCCTGGTTTGGTGGCTCGGAGGAGAAACGACTGCAGGTCGACTTCACCTCTCCATGGAAATGTTGGCATTTTAAGAAAACACAAAAAACAAACAGATGTCTCGAATGACCATATGAATATCCCACAGAGCTGTTCCAAAATTAGATAAATCGTTATTATCATCATTATATAATTCAAAGTAAGCTGTGTGTATCAGCTTGGGGTAACCTGGTGCAGAGTAAGTAGTTCGATGCTGCAAGCAGTTGGTGACTTGTTGCTTTATACCAATCAACCTTTTCGTCATTTTTTTAGGTCTGCTGGTTTGTTACAAAGAAGCTGTGATTCTTAAATTGTTTCCTGTTATGTACCAACAGATTAATAGAACTAAAAAAGTATGTCATATTCCCAGATTTTAAGAACTTTCTGATTTTTAAAGGAGCAATTAAATATAAAATAGTCTTACTTAAATAAATAAACAGATTTATTTAAGTAAGATTTTAGCAGCTAGCTGACATGCACATAGATATAGTCTGGTCTTTAAGTTTTGTTGCTCAGGTAAAAGCCTGTAATTCCAGTAGAGCTGCAGGAAGGAGCTGACTGTCTCTCTGTTTACGACTCAGTGCTCATTCCTCTTCAAGACACAAAAAAGCAGCTGCAAAATCAGCTAGAAGCAAAATCAATTCAAGCCATTGAATTGATTTTGCTTCAATTCAAGCCATTCAAAATGCAGCTTAGAATATTTTTAGGATTTTGAATGTTAGACATAGGAAGGCATTTTCTCCAGTTCAGTTTAGTAGTTCAGCAATTTTTTATAGTTCCGCTGATACTGTTCTCCAAAACAGTATCAGCAAAAAACCACCAAGCTAAATTACTTGTATGATGTTGATTCAATGCAGGTCATTTGTGCTCATTATGTCTCTTTATGACTGCTTAAAAAAATAGATTTTGCAAATTACATATTAGTAATATGTAAACATGTCCTGGTCCAAGCCTGTAGTTTGGGGAGATTTTCATTATTTCTCCTTTTTTCATTTGATTTTGTTTTGAGGTGACATTTAAATCTGTTGGCTGCTGATAAATCTTCAAACTGTCCTCTGATCAATTTAATGCCAGCAGCTTCTAGAGGTTTTTATAGGCTGTTGGCAGGAGACACACAAATATTCATGAACATATGAAGATGTGTTTATGCACATAAAAATAATCTGTATACAAATTTATATAATAGCTTTTTCTTTTCTTTTTTCTTTTTTTTTTTTTTACATATTTTCTAATTTTGTCGCTTTTTTTTTTCCCAAGAAAAAACTAAATAAAAACAAACCAGAACATAAATGGGGATGGGAGGGTAGCCAAATAAAAGCCAGTCATTGACATCACATTTCAAATCAAAGCATCACTCTGAATGACGGCAAGGTTTATGAAAAGTCAGAAAGGTTTGACATATTCTGTCCACTTTGAACATATCTTGTAGAAAGTGTCTTTCTGCACTTTGAAAAAGAAAAAGACAGTCTCTCCAAACTGTAAATCTTTGGTTTGGAGAGATTTTTTTCTGTTCCTGTGTGTCAGAGTAAGTTTGAGGTCTTTGGTAAAGTCTTTTATTTTGACAAAATGCTTCCTGTGTTTCAGGGGAAGCCGTATGTGTTCGACAGAGTTTTTCCTCCAAGCACTGAACAGATTCAGGTGTATGACACCTGTGCTAAACAGATCGTCAAAGGTGAGGCTGATACCAATCCATACATAGACATTATGATGGTAACATTATCAACATTTCTTTTGTTTTAAAGCGAAACTAGATCATAAAATGTAGTGTTTATTGCATTGTTTTATTTTTGTGGCGTTAAATTAATAGTTTGTATCTATATTTGGTGGTCCAGACGTGTTGGGAGGCTACAATGGAACCATCTTTGCTTACGGTCAGACGTCATCAGGAAAGACTCACACCATGGAGGTCAGTGTGTTGTTGTGTGAGAAACAGATTGTGTTAGTTTGTCTTTGTAAACATTATTTTGTTATTTAGGGGAAGCTGCACGACCCCCATATGATGGGGATCATCCCCAGGATCTCCAGAGACATCTTTGACCACATCTACTCCATGGACGAGAACCTGGAGTTCCACATCAAGGTGATGTGGAACACCTTAGAAAAATCTGTGTGACCTCAGTACAGCTGTGTACCTTTTGTTTCCAATCATGTATCCATGTGTTATGATCCTCTCTGTCTGCAGGTGTCCTACTTTGAGATTTATCTGGATAAAATCCGAGACTTGCTGGACGGTGAGGCGTTTCAGATGTTTCGCTTTTTTAAGGTCCAAGAACTTGTTAATATTTACTGACCAAAGTTTCATGTTTCAGTGTCAAAAACCAACCTGGCTGTTCATGAGGATAAAAACAGGGTTCCCTATGTCAAGGTACCTCAGTCTCATGTCACTCTATATGCTTGTTCAGGCTTTTTCTAATCACTTCAATTCATTTATCTTGCAAACTGAGATCTGTAGAGTTCTTGCTGATTGATGCTCTATAGTTTCTTACGATTCCTGGATTATTTCAGAGACATTGCATTGGGGTTAATTTCCTGGCATACCAAAAACTTGTATCTGTTGCAAATGTTTATTTTTTTGAATAATCTTTCAATAGAATAATGAAATTTTTTAGGAATGATTTTCAGACCTTTCCAGATTGATTCTAATGTAACTGTGTTTACCTTTACCTTTTAAAATTGTGTTAATCCACAGTTGTATGGTTTAGACCAGCTGACAGACAACATTTCTGCCTGCACTCATGTTCTCACACTGACAATGATGATGATGCATTTTCTCACTTAGTTAGTTAAAAAGAAGCAAGGGGGTCTGAGGCACTTGAAACTTTTTCCTGTGACTGCATATCAGATTGCAAATTTGTACAACTGCAGTATATGGTTGGATATTGTTTAATTGCAGAGAATAGAGTTCTTGTGTTTAAGGTTTCCATGCTCTCTGTCAGGGTTGCACTGAGCGTTTTGTGTCGAGTCCTGAGGAGGTGATGGACGTGATCGATGAAGGAAAAGCTAACAGACATGTCGCTGTCACCAGTAAGTCTTTCACTGCATCTGATATTACTCAAGCATTATTATCACCTCCCCTTCACTGCAGCTACAAGCTTTCTCAGAGTCAGAACAGAATCGTTTCTGGTGTTTGTGTCTCTTCAGTCTTCAGCAGGAGTATCAAAAATCATGGCTGAGCTGCATCTGTTGTATTTCTAGCTGACATTTCTGTTTTTCACCTGACTTCCTCCTGCAGACATGAATGAGCACAGTTCTCGCAGCCACAGCATTTTCCTGATCAACATCAAGCAGGAGAACGTGGAGACGGAGATGAAACTGTCTGGGAAACTTTATCTGGTCGACCTGGCAGGCAGCGAGAAGGTCTGACTCCTTCGATGAATTGAAATACTCACAAAACATATTTTCAACTATCTATAATCAGGGCATATGATATTCTTTAATCTGACACGTTTACTTTTCATGTTTTTTTAAACATATTTCCCTTTCTGAAATTTTGATGCTTTATTCAGGTCAGTAAAACTGGAGCTGAAGGTTCTGTGTTGGATGAAGCAAAGAACATCAACAAGTCTCTGTCTGCTCTTGGGAACGTCATCGCTGCACTCAGTGAAGGAACGGTGAGAAAAAAAATCACATTACGCAGGTCAGAGAATACATTTATACAGATCAAGTAAACGGAGAGAAATAGGAAGACTGATTTAAATGCTTCTGTTTGAGGAAAAGGGAAGAAGTTAGCAAAAACCAAAAGCTGGCGAAAACTTGGATATGTTGAACCTATTCTTTACTATAAGAGTCGGTGTTGCAGACTTTAAAACAGATTTATCCTTCAGTTCTTGATCAGAATTTAGGTCACTGCAACAAAAAGATTTATTCTAGATGTTACTGGCATCAACATGACAGAAAGGAACCAGATAACGAACCTTCACAGATCACATCTTCACAGTGTTTTATGTATCTAAATGTAGAAAACCCACGTCCCATACCGAGACAGCAAGATGACCAGGATTCTGCAGGATTCTCTAGGGGGAAACTGTCGGACCACCATCATCATCTGCTGCTCTCCTTCTGTTTACAATGAGGCTGAGAGCAAGTCCACCCTCATGTTTGGTCAGAGGTAGAGCCTCCATGTTAACTTTCAGGACAAACAGTCTGTTAGTAGCTCTGAAGGATCAGTTTGAGATCTGAGCAACAAGCATGCAAAAAGCATGTGTTAAATTTGTCCTGTTTGATTTCATGTTTCAGGGCTAAAACCATAAAGAACACGGTTTCTGTCAACCTTGAGCTGACTGCCGAGGAGTGGAAGAAAAAGTACGAGAAGGAGAAAGAAAAGAACAGAAGTTTGAGCATCATGATCCAGAAACTGGAGAATGAGCTGAAGCGCTGGAGGAAAGGTGAGGAAAATGTACAGTTTAAAAAAGGCTGTTGCTGACAATCAGTGATGAAGATGTAAACAGTGGCTGCTATTATTGGTTGTGAATTCTTTCTGTGAATCAGAGAGAATTCACAGATGCTGAAAGCCGAGGATTTATGCTGAATTAGAATAATTTGATTAATATTTCCAGCAGATTGGACGTTTTCATTAATGTATTTGAATGTATAATCTGTTCATACTCAACATGAAATTAAATATTTTCAAACAAAGCAAAAAATAAAGAGTTTACAAAAAATCTGAGCTTTCAAGCTGTTGAAACCAGAAAATCACTTCACAAAAAACTGGGAATATAAAAAAGATTAAGAAATGTTAAGAACCTCTGTATTATGATGTATTTATTCCCTTGTTGTGCAAATTAGTCCAGAAACCTACTACTGCTCTAATGGGAGGTAATCTGTGTTCAGGCTTCCCTGTGGAAACATTTCTGGAAAATGTTCCTGCAGTGGAAACGCCCCTTTAAAGTCATTCCTGCACTGTGTTAGGACGCCACCTGGTGGATTTTTTAAAATTTAAATGTATTAAAATTGATTACCATTATAGAATTCTGCATTGTTTTATTAATTAAAATAATGTTTATAAACTTCAACTCAAGTGTCAGAGCTGCAAATGCTAATCTTAGAAACTGTTGACTCTGTTTTCATGCTAATTGTGATAAAATAAAAATTATTCAGAGCTAAGAAAAAAAGTGTTGATTTATTTTCTTAATAACAGAGTATATTCAGTGACTCAGTGGCCATTTTTTGACATTTTAAATTAGCTTGACTTTTTTCCCACATTTTGATATTTCTTTTATGTTTTTAGTTCAGGTCAAAAGCTAAAACCATCATTATTTTTGGAAAACTGAAGCTGCTAGGGGATTTCTGACTCTTTCTGACTCTTTCCAGGTGAGTCTGTACCTGTGGAGGAGCAGCTGAGCAACAGGAGTAAGAAGATCAGCACTGAGACGCCAGCAGTGATCGAGAGCTTAGCCCCGCCCACCGCCCCTCTGTCAGAGGAGGAGAAGGCGCAGTACGAGACGCTCATCACCAACCTCTACCAGCAGCTGGACGACAAGGTGAGTCTCACCTGCACCTGCAGCAGGACGATGATGATGAAGTTCAGAACTGAAACCATAAAACTGCTGACTCGTGTTTCAGGACGATGAGATCAACCTGCACAGTCAGACGTCCGAGAAGCTCAAGCAGCAGCTGATAGAGCAGGATGAGGTGAGTTTCCATGATGCTCGTGTAATGTTCCCGTTCTCCTCCGCACCCCTGCTGACGTTCTGCTCCCACAGCTGCTGCTGTCCAGGAGCCAGGACTACGAGCGTCTGCAGGAGGAGCTGAGCCGGCTGCAGAGGGACAGCGATTCAGCTAAAGAGGAGGTGAAGGAGGTGCTGCAGGCGCTGGAGGAGCTGGCCGTCAACTATGACCACAAGAGCCAAGAGGTGGAGAACAAGACGCGCTGCAACGAGCAGCTGAACGAGGAGCTGGCACACAAAACGGTGAGTCCACAACCTGAAGGCTTGTGTTGGCCGGTAGTTTTCAATGAGCTCCAAGTCTTTCAGGTTGAAATTCCTAAAACTATTCATATAATATTTGAGGTTCAAACGTTTAAGCAACTCAAGAGGTTGATGTTGGATGTTGTTCCACAATGTTCTGTGGTTGCAGGCGGGTCTGGAGGCCGTTCAGAGGGAGTTGTCCACCATGCAGGAGCTCAGCACTCACCACAAGAAGAGATCTGCAGAGATTGTCAATCTGCTGATCAGAGACCTCAGTGAGATCGGCAGCGTCCTCGGAACCACAGAGCTCAAAGCTGTGAGACTCTCCTGCTCTTCAGGCAGACATCCACAAGCATCCAGTGTACAGCTTCCCTGACAGACTGCTTCCTGCATGGTTTAACGTTTTCTCAGATGGCTGAGATGAGCGGCGTGATGGAGGAGGAGTTCACCACGGCTCGTCTCTACATCAGCAAGATGAAGTCTGAGGTCAAGTCTCTGGTGAACCGCAGCAAACAGCTGGAGGTCAGCCTGACGGAGAACACCGGCAAGATGGAGGTCAACGAGAAGGAGCTGAGCGCCTGCCAGCTGCTCGTCTCTCAGGTAACACACACCTGGTTAAAGAAAGACACATGAGCGCTGTCACTGCAACATGATGACCACAGACACACCAGAATTAAAAACAAAACTCTTTATTATTAATTTTTATTTTGTTTTTTTCCTTTAGTATTGCATTGTATTCATTGTTATAACTTTTGACAGTATTATTGTCATTTTGCCTTATTTTGTAAACTTATAATGAATGTATTTAGCTGTAACTATGGAAAATTTCTCTATTGTTAAAAATAAATAAAAACTAAGTTAAAAGAAGACTAAAGCAGAGCATCCTGCAGTATTATCTGCAGAAGGTTTTGCTCTCGCTTGCACCCTGAGGGAACCACAGAACACAGTGTTTCCTTTTAAGTAGCATCTTATTTCTCTGTTAACTTTGAATCGTCCTATTCCAGTCAACAATCGATTTCTTAGTGCATCTTTAATTATTCCCCATCTGGACAAAACTGCTTTTCCTGGCATGATTATTTAAAACTTCTGACAAATAAATTATTTCTCAGAACAATCTTTTACCTTTGAGGAAGTTAAAGATTTAATGTGGAATCAGCAGAGCTGTTGCAGGAATTCTAACTTATTGAATGTGAATGGGTAACGCACGTAAAGAGATGTTTGCTTATGAATCATTTCACAAGTGTGTGTGGCCAGAAAACAGAAAAGCATTGCTGCCTTGGCAGACCACCCAGTCAGGATGGTCTGTGTTTGTTGTTTTTCAGGTTGTTGTTGTTTACTTTGTTGTTGTTGTTTTTGCAGCTTCAGGCCAAGTTGGAATCCCTGTCTGTCGACCTGCAGAGGATGGAGCAGAAGAAGCGGCAGCTGGAGGAGAGTCAGGATGCTCTGATGGAGGAGGTTGCTAAGCTACACGCTCAGGGTCAGGGTCATCACCATGTCTACAGGAGGTCCTGCTCTGTGATTGGACAAGGGATGATGATGAAACCGAAACTGTTCTGTATGTTTCTAGGTCAGATGCATGAGGTGACAGTGATGGACAAAGAGAAAGAACACATGAGCAGACTGAAGGATGCTGTGGAGATGAAGGTAAAGATTGTTGAAGCTTCCTCAGAATTTCTAACAATCTGCAAGAGACGACCGAACAGAGATAAAGGAAACGGCTTCATTCAGTCTGTCGTCTCTCTTCAAAAACTCAGTTTGATCTCAGTTATCAATATTTTCACTTTGATTAGTCAGTGATTGTGTTTCTTATTTGTAATCATCATTGGCACAAATTTCCAGCTTAATTGAGACATCAGAGCCAATTTCCAATTTAAGAGTGAGATTTTTTTTCTCACTTTATTTTGTAAAAAAGGAATTGCAAATAATAAAATACTTTCAAAAAAATTATTTTATTTAAATGATCCCTTGTGTGAGTGTTAAGCAGAGTATTAAGGCCAGGAAATGACAAGTTGTGTTTCATTGTGAGAACATAATCATCATATTATATTAGTAGAATAAAGTTGCAAATTTACCAAAAATAACTTCTTAAAGTATGATAAAAAAATGTAGTTTTATGAAAAAAAACATTTTGATATGAGATATTTAATGTGAACAATTTGCATGACTGCAATGTCTTGCTGTTTCTGATAATCTGATGTTAATGTGTTAAAGTATTGAGTGTTTCAAATCTTGAAGTAAGATAAAACTTCACAAGATGCTCAACATTTCTCATTTTGATATTTTTATAATTTTCTGTGATCTAGTTCAAGATGGTGGGACACAGTTGGGCTGATATCTCTCTGAACTATGGAAACACAAGAAAAGAAATCCAGATTTTCCAAAAATAAAGTTTTCAAAAAACAGAATATTAATTATTAGTTAGGATTGATTATTGTTCAGCACTATGTGACACGTTTAACCAGGAAACCTGCTCTGCAGAGAACGTTGGAGGAACAGATGGAGAACCACAGGGAGGTTCATCAGAAACAGCTGAGCCGACTCCGCGATGAGATCGAACAGAAGCAGAGAGACAACGACCTGCTCAAAGAGTACCGACTGCTTTTACCGTTATTAGTTATGACTTAAACCGAATTGTAACTTCTGATTGATCGAGTATCGTTTCATATAACAGAAGGTTCTGTGTTTGTTGCTCAGTGTTAATCAGGCTCTGCACCTGGAGAACAGAAAACTTCAGTCTGACTTTGACAAACTCAGAGCCGAGGACCAAAACAAGGAGCAAAGACTCCAGAAACTGCAGTAAGTTTGTCCCTCTTTGCTTCCTGTAACAGGAGTTTCTTTCTTTCTTTATGAAATGAGATCTCTGTTTACTCTGACGTCTTCTGATTTAATTTCAGGTTTCTGAATGAGAAGAGAGAACAAGCCAAGGAGGATCTGAAGGGCTTGGAGGAAACTGTGGTATGAGTTTAATTCATCCACATTCATTTAACTGCACTTTCAGCTGAAACATGTTGAGCATCGGTGATCTGTCAATAGCTCTGCTTTTGTTTCACAGACCAAAGAGCTGCAGACTCTGACCAACCTCCGGATCCAGTTCATACAAGACATCACGTCTCGAGTCAAGAACGTAAGAATAAACAAAGCAGACTTCTCAGGTTCTGATTATTTAACAGTAATCATGTGAATCTGTAAATGCTTTTACAGATCGTTCAATTGTTTCGTTATTCATGCTATTTAAAACATGTAACTGATTCCTCCTGCTGATGTGGATGATTTTTTTCTTTTTTCCCTCCATGCTGAACAGAGCTCAGAGAACGACAACGACGAGGCCGGCGGCAGTTTGGCTCAGAGACAGAGGATCATCTTCCTGGAGAACAACCTGGAGCAGCTCAGCAGAGTCCACAAACAGGTGAGATATCACCGCACAGCAGTGATCGGTTTTATGCTTGTTTTTATTTTTCTGCATGGAACGATTTCAATAATTATCAGTGGGTAGTTTCAAATTAAAGGTCCTATTCTAAGGTAGCGTCTGTGTCAAAACAGACTGAAACACTACATTAAAAATAGACAATATTAATATTTAAGGAGATTAATTTTTAAAAGTTTCAATAAAGTTCCTCAACATTGTGTTAAATACATAAATAACAACAATAATACTTTCTTAACTAGCAATACGTCAATGTACAAAACAAATCTGCAGGAATGTTTGAGGATTCAAATATGTTTGAGTATAAGAATAATTTTTTTCTTGAAAAGTGCCTTTATAAAAAAGTGAATTAGATCTGTGATGAAGAGTCACATCTGTTTAATCAGTTTCATAACAAACTGTAGCAGATTAAATTTAAGTTTGCGTCTTGTCAGCTGGTGCGGGATAACGCAGACCTGCGCTGCGAGCTGCCCAAGCTGGACCGGCGGCTGCGTGCCACCGCAGAGCGAGTCAGAGTGCTGGAAACGGCCCTGAAGAATGCCAAGGAGTCGGCTCTGAGGGACCGCAAACGGTACCAGCAGGAGGTGGACCGGATCAAAGAGGCCGTCCGGTCCAAGAACATCTCCAGGAGGGGGCACTCTGCTCAGATTGGTGAGAACCGCAGCCTACAGAAAACTGAGTCAGTAATCTGAAGAGTGTGATTTCAGCTGACTCGCATGGTTCCTGCGTCCATACAGCCAAGCCAATCAGAGCCGGGCACCAGTACCATCACTCATCCTCCTCCCCATCTATTAAACCGACCATCAGAGGAGGGGGCGTGGCCTCCAGTCCTCGCCATCACTCCTCCCGACACCAAGCAGCTCAACAGCATCAACAGCCACAGTGAAACCACAAGCGACTCCAGGTCAGTAACAGATGGTCACTGTAGCTTGACCCAATCAGGACTGATGATTAATTAATTAAATTAATATGAAGAAAAATGAGGAATTAATTGAACTGTAATTACTCCAAATGCTATTATTTTTTCCCCTTTTATTTAGTTTTCTTTAAAAATGTATGACTTTCTGTCTTTACAGATAACAGCCTAACTGTGGATCAGTTTATTTATTCTTTGTTTCTGAACATCTTTACTCAACTCTCCTGTCTTCACCATTCTGCCTTTACTGGAAACTCATTTCCTCAATTTTCCTCTTCAACAGCCAATAATAGTTTGACTTGTTCTCTGAATCAGAAAAACAAAGCTGTTTGTTTTAGTTTCTGTGTCTCTGATCCATTCATTTAATTCATCTTGTCTTTCTGCAGTATTAAAACCTGAACTTTAGAAAACAGACGCCTAAAGCTCTTGCTGCTGTTGTTTTCTTAAGTACAACCCAAGTAATGCACATTGATGCATCACAGTGCAATTCTAGAAGAATTATCTTTATTCAACTTTGAACTGTTAGACACTTTCCTGACTAAATTGAGAAAACAGAGTATTTTCACCTCAGGTTGGATTTTTTTGTATTTGTCTTGATTGATAAACAATATTAGAAATGACATTTTAGGAATTTTTGAAACAGGCTTTGTCCTTCCAACAGCTAATAATAATAATAATAATATAATAATAATAATAATAATAATAATAATAATAATAATAATAATGCTTTTAAACTGCAGTATAATTCAAATAAACACTCCGCCTAGTCATCTGATTTTAATTGTATTTACAGTATTACAGTATAAACCTTTAAAAAAAGAAATACCTCAGATAATTTCATGTATTTGCACATCATTGCTTTATGAGTTTACAGTGCTGTAATAATTGTTTTTTAATCATTTTTGCTGCCATGACTTGAGTTTCAATTGTTCTTTTCGTGAATGTTTGAACCTACCTGTCCAAGTGTTGCCTTTTTCAACATTTTATATTTTATTACTGGACATTTTGATACTTTTTTATATTAATTTTTAATTTCATTGTTATTGCTGGAGATTTCCTCAGCTGCTCCTGACAGATTCTACAAACATTACGTTTCTTCCAGAGAGAATACAGTAAACCAAACTCACCAAAATGCATCATGAGCTGGATAGTGTCTGTTAGACCCGTGGTGTGTTTATGTCTGTGGGATTCAGATGTTACGGAAGTGTTGTGCTGTATTTGCTATTTCTGGTATTTGTAGTCACAATCACTGATTTTCAATGATTCTATTTATTTTACTGTATTTATTTCACTAACATAATTGAACTATGTCTACTGTAATTGTTTTGTGTAATTATTGAACATTACTTCATCATGGTATTAGTTATAATTTTGTTTAGATTGCAATTTTTTTCCCTGTAATGTTTAATCATTTAATATTTAGTCATTTTCTATATTTATTTTCATCCATGTATTGTACTGTATTTTCAATTATTTTTTTTACATTTGTATTTTACTTACTATATTTATTTTGCTGAATTTTTACTGTCTTTTGCAGTTTTTCATTGCAGGCCTACGTTAAACTAAAAGCTGATATTTCTATTATAGATGTTAAATTATTATTTTTCCTCCAGTGTTTAAAGCACAATCTTATGGCCTCTTCAATTACAAAAATAAAGTGTTTCTGATGTCAAATATGGAGCCTCTAAATTTTCTTTTTTGGATTAAAAACCCATTAGAGACACAAGTTTCTCTTCAAATCAGATTTTTCTAATTTGATAAATGTATTGAGTACAAAAAAAACACAAGTTGTGATATTTCTTATCTTTTATCGTACAGCAGGTCTGAAGGGAGTTTAGACAGCAACATGTCATTATATACAACTGTTTAATAAATTCAAACATTGCTTTTAGAATAAATGCATATTTTATTTTTATCTAAATTAATTTCAAATGAAAATAAGCAGCAGTCACATTTGTTATGTAATGTTAAAATATTTGAATATTTACAGATTTATTTGCTCAATTTCAGAAGTTTGTGTTTTAAGAAACAAACTATTAGATGCATTTTGATCTAACGATGTGACACACTTAATCCTTTATACACCCCAAGTACCCAAATACTGGATCAGTTGAATGATTTTCTGGTGACGAGTGAATCTGAGTCCATCAGTCTCATCTGACTTCCTGCCCGTCTCACATCCTGTCCAGGTCAAAGATCTCTCGGCTCTCGATTAGGATGAACTCCACGATCTGGTTCTGGTAAACCATGTTAACCGCCATGTTTCCTGCATCCAGCTCCGGCCACATCAGTGTTGGTCCAAACACAATACCGATTCCCTGAGTGGACATCAGATTCTTCCTTGAAAATGCCAGAACTCTGAAAAAAGCAGAAGAAACACGAAGTCAGAGGGAGTATTGGGTCAAGAGTTCTGTTCTGGTTCAGGTGTGAAGGTTTGGTCAGATATATTTCTGGTGCGGTTTTATTTTTATTAATAATTGTGTCATATCTGCAATCAGATATGAGGTTCAGAGGTTTGAGTTTGTGTATAAAAAGATAATTTCCAACTGAAACATGTTGTACATTAAAGCTAATAAAACTGCATATCCAGAAAGATATCTAGATGTAGAAAACCGTTTATATGCATTATGCCACATTATTTCCATCGCACATCAACATGGATTTGAACTCACATTAGAGAGTTATTTTTCCACACACAAACTTCTACATTTAACAGTATGTTTATCTGTATGTTCAGATAAATAATATGGTTTCAGCTTCACACACTCACAGCATGCAAACATTAAGTACAACTGTACAAATAAAATAATAAGGAAATAAATAGCAATTAAAAAAAAAAATATTATGTACATGTATGTATAAGTACACCCAATATTTATTTCCATCTTAAAGGGGCAGTGTTCCAGTCAGACAGTACCATTTGATAGCACAATCAAGTTACTGTTACCTTCAGTTGTTCTAAAAATGCGGTATATATCAAACATCACAATTTGTCGCTTTGAAATTGGGCCTCTGTCCCTTTAAGAAGGTCCTGCTCTTTCCGACACTTCAACATGTCATCACAACAGTGTTCTCCATTATGCTGTTTACAACCATACTAAGAACTGCTAGACTGAGAAGTGGTTCACATGATGAGCTCAGCAGACGAGCAATTCCACCAGGTGTTTGCTAATTGCTGCTGCTGCTGCTAGTCTGAAGGAGCTGATTCCTCAGCTTAAGCCAAAAAAGCACCTTGACTATTCTCAATATACTCAACAAGTATTATTCAAAATATGCATTCATTTTACCGTCTCAATTCATTAAAATGAAATATATAAAATATACATAGACTGATGTAGGCATTGCCCCTCATAATGGGATGATGAAAGTTATTTCTAGTCTTGTAATTGCAAACAGTTGCAACATTTTAGTTGCTCGTTATGTGTCTGGTGAGTAGAATAATAATTTTCCAGGAGATTTACTTTTGCAGGTGGCTGAAGAGCAGCTTCATGGTGTCATGGTTGGGCTTTGGCAGCTGCTGGATCAGTTTCTTCACAGCCTGAGTTTTCTGTTTGGTTTCTTTAATCTCTGTTGTGAAACAACATCAGTTTCAGTTTTCATTCATTTTGACATCTTTGTCAAAGCATTTCATTTATTAACATTTTTAATTTCAACTGCAACAATTTTTCTCAAAGAGAGAAAAATTGTGATTATTCTTCAGGGTTTACTCACTGACTGCCTCCACAAACTGCTGGAAGAACCTGAAAGGGAACAGTGGCTCTGGCAGCTCACGGAAAAACATCTTTAGAGCTCCTGTGATGACGTGGACGTCCTCCCACTGGTTGTGGTCCAGGTCCAGCTCTTCCTCTGGCACAGAACAGATAAAAACGGTTTGGTTTCTCAATCTGAGGTTTAATCTTTTGTTTAAGTCACAACATTGTGAAATGCATTTTCTTCATGCACACCTTCGTCAACAATGAACCGAAGTTTCTGGATTGTGGCCAGATTTCCACTGACCCTGTAGATCCCGTCTGCGTCTAGACCTGAAAACATCGAAACAGTTCATGCACAATTAAATGATGTGTGTCCAGTCAGCAGATTAAGACACGCTATCACTCTAGGTCAGCTGATTTTGGTGAAGGTCTGACTGATGAATCAACTCTGTGTAAAGGGCAGAGCTTCTGCTGAACGTACCTCGTTTCTCAACAGCTTCTAAACAAATCCTTACAAATTTAGGAACTGTGCTCCCTTCACGATCGCAGAGCGTCAGCAGGTGGCAACCAAATACTCGGTCTGTGAAATAAAGGAAAACATATTAAAATTTCGACATTCTGTTCAGATTTCATCTGTCAGGCAATAATAAAACAATTTATTAGTTTAGCGCAGCTTTTCACAGATTCTGTTTAACTGCATTTTAAATGCAAAGACATACAAATCATATCCATCCATACAGTCACACTACATGTTTATCTGAGCAGAGCCACAACATACATTCTAAGTTTACTATGTGGATGTTTTAATTGCTCATTACAAACATTAAAACGTAGATTCACTGATTGATTTTTTTAATAGAAATAAAAACATTTTTGATATGTTACAACCTTTGATGAGGCCTTTCTCCTGCAATGTTTTCATGGACGGACGTCTGATGATGAACTTCTTCAGTCTGTTCTTCACTCCATTCTTGTCTGCACTGTCTGAGGCGCTGTGTTTCAGCTTCGAGCTGCCAAACATGTCTGAAACACAATTAAAGATTCAATAATAAGCTCATATTCTGTTTATATTCACATCCAGCTGAAATGAATCAACCCAGAGGACATGGAAAGGTTAAATTTCAACTGGAAAACTGAGTGTGGGTTTAAATTTCTTTGTCATTTGGTGCTGCGTGTTGTGATGCATCACTACTAAAGATATGCTGCTATAGTTTTCCTAACTACAGTGGCATACTGACTCAACTGGATCAGAACAAATAACTGTTTAATTGAATAGAATAGAGTAGAACCTTCATTTTCATTGTAACAATACAATATTATACAGTGAAATTTGGGTTCAATGTCTCACTTAAGAAAGAAAGACTGCAAATAATTACTTATATTGCACTTGTCACATGATAAAAAGTTATCTGTAAACTACAATAGTCATAAAAATAAACACTTAGAATGATGTTGGTGCTATGCATTTCTCATGTGAAAAAAACAGTAATTCAAAAAGTAATGCCATGTAATCTAACTTCTTTTTTTAAATGAATAAAGTCAAAAATAAACAAAAATAAATTTAGCCTCATGGAAAAATGAACTAAAGTAGGCACAGTTAGCTGACAGGAACTAACATAACAACACTTGTGAAGAAGAAGAAGAAGTATCAGGTTATCATGAACTGTGTGGGCGGATGTATGTTTGGTTAGAGAATGCTATTTCTGTCACTTCGCGAAGGGTCCACAGTGGGTGAGTAGGCACAAGTTGCAGAGTAGTTACTGTAAGATGATATTAGTCATGGCAAAGTAAAAAGTGAATTCTCTCACATAAATGCAACTTATTATTACCTACCTCAATGATAAGGTATTTGCATTCAGAAAATTTGCAGTAAGTATTTAATAATTTTACCTCACTGTCTCCCATCTTCCAGATGTTTATTTTATTATCTCTATAGCAACAATAGGTCAATGCACAACCCCAAACACCTGTTGTTGATTCCAGTTTGTGTCTCTGTTCATAAACACAGTTGTATATTTACAAACGCCGTGTTTGTAAATCCTGACTGAATCTGATTATAATTCAATCCTAATTTTAAGCATATAAATGTATTTTATGCTTACTGATGGAGCGTCTGTGAGTTGGATTTCTTTGCTTCATGCTGGGCGAGACGGATCCATGTCCAGGTAAGGAGCTGTGCCTGGACAGTAACTCTGAGCTGTTGGACCTCCGCAGAGCAAAACCTCTGTCCTCTCTCGTCTAAACCAGAAGAAAAAGAACACAGTGAGACATCACTCCAATATGTATGCACCTAAAGGAAAGCTATTTCACCAGACTGTTAATGTTTGATGGGCTTTCTTACTGATGAGTCGACAGTTTTTCTGATGGCTTCGTGCCATTTGCTGGCTGTGGGGAAACTGTCAGCCTGGATGAGGTATTCACTCCCTGTGTTAGTTGTGATCTGGAACAGACAGAAAAGTTACAATTCAGTTTTAAAGATCCACAAGCCGCCCTTTAGACAAGGCGATGGCTCAGAGGTAGTTACCTGGAAGACATTTTTCTTGCTTGACTTCTCCGCTGCCCACTCAATGACGGCCCCACAAAGCTTAACCACATCAGTTTTACCTCCTGGCTTCTAAACACGGGGAATGTTGGACACAACATGTGTGATTAATGCACTTTCTGCTGAAAACAGAGCAACAAGCTGATGCTAAAGAACTAATCTGTTCAAGTCTTTGAGGTCGACTCTGGTGTCAATGTTGAATTTAGACAGTTCCGTACCACACCAGTTTCCTGTTTGTCTTTATACAGCAGCAGTTCATCAGTGGTCAGCACTGTCCACATCGAAGTCCAGTTCTTCCTCTGCTTCTTACCGTTGTCTGAGATCTTAGCGACGTTCAAGTGTTCACCTTTCAGGTCCACCTGGGAACAATCAGAACCTTATTTACCTCATGTGTGCAGGGCCATGAAGGCAACACTAAAAACAGATGAGATGATGTCGAC